TTTTCATAGCTTTCCTAATCCTATCCATTAACTTTCATTCTCTCAACTCAAAACACTCGAAAAGATCGTTTACACTAGCTTTTAGCGTAGTGTCATTTTTTAACAAACACAATAGCTTTCAGCTACCCTAACCTATTCTCACCATGAAGATTGCACAAAGATCGCATACACCAGCTTCGAGTCAAAGCTGCCACAAACCAATACCTTCCTCTCATCGACCTCACGATGACTGCGAAATCGACGATTCGCTCCTACCACCTACAAACTTCGCACTGTTCCAGCAGATGCAAACAGCGCCAAGTACACCTTCAAGGTCCAAATAATCAATGGACCTGAGACTCCACGTCAGTCCATCAAGTGGGCTGGACCCATGGAGAAGGTTTTCGTTGGGCTCGCCATTGCTACGCCTGGCGGCAAACATAACCTCCTCAAAGAGATAACTTCTAGCTCTGCAAAGAGCAGTTACGAATCTAGCTTTGCAGGCCATCGTGAAATTCGTTGGAATGCTTTGCGTCAGATTGCAGTCAACGGGTTTGCTCCACGCGACGTACGTTGCGGTGAAGACGAAGCCGGTTTCCAAGCGCGTTTCCAGTCTGCCTGGAGCGGAGCAGCTCAGCTTGCTTTGGACGACGTTGACTTTACGTTTGGCATAAATGCTTGTGTCGAAGCGGTCTGTTCCTACAAGGCTCTTGAAAAGCAGTAACGCTTCATGCGCCGCAAGATGCGTAAGCCTGCTGATATGTCTATACTCGGGCTTATGTCACAAACCTCAGTCGGATGAACACCGATGAATTTCAATCGTCTACCCACTTTTGGACCCAACCAACAGTTGAACCATGACGAATTCATTGACATTTTTTGTCATGGAATTCCACGCTCGTGGATGAAGAAGATGGACGACAACGACTTCGATCCTTTCTCAGCTCCTATTGGAGAAAACATTGGATTCTGCGAACGCATGGAATCCTCCGAAGACTTTGACAAGGGCGTGATGCCAAGCAAGCTCCTACGAAGGAGAACAACAGCAAGAAGTACAAGTCTACTCCAAACAACGACCACTATTTTCCAAGAACGAAGAAAATGGGTGTGACTACTACGAGTCCAGCACCCACAAAACTGCAATCTCGAGAGAGTCCACACCACGGGAGATGGAAATATGTATAGAGGGATCGAGCTCGGTGTGGCTGAGTTCCGTGAGCTCGCTGGCTCGACGATACCTATCAAGAGAGAGTTCATATGTCGTATAAAGAACGCGCCGTACGGAGCGTTGTACTAAGTCTTGCTAGCTCGCTGCGTGGCTCTCGCTCACAGTGTGTAGGAGCTTGCTTGCAATCACCGCCCTTGTCAAGTCTTCGGAGGATTCCATGCTGTCGCAGAATCCAATGGTTTCTCCGATAGGAGCTAGAAAGGATCGAAGTCGTGTTCGTGCATCCTTCTTCATCCACAGAGCGTGGAATTCCATGACAACAATGTCAATGACTTCGCCATGGTTCAACGTTTGGTTGGGTCCAAAAGGTGGTAGACCAGGAAGTTCATCGGTGTTCATTCGACTGAGGTTGTTGACATAAGCCGGAGTAGACATATCAGCAGGCATACGCCATCTTCCGGCGCATGAAGCGTTTCTGCTTTTCAAGAGCCTTGTAGGGGCCGACCGCTTCGATACAGGCATTTATGCTAAACGTAATGTCAGCGTCGTCCAAAGGAGGCTGAGCTGCTCCGTTCCAGGCAGCCTGGAAACGTGCTTGGAAAGTGGCTTCGTCTTCACCCACACGTACGTCGCGTGGAGGAATGCCGTTGACTGCAATCTGGCGGAAGGCATTCCAACGTATTTCACGGTGGTCTGCACAGCTAGATTCGTTACTGCTCTTTGCAGAGCTAGAAGTCATCTCCTTGAGGAGGTTATGTTTGTCGTACGGCGTAGCAATGGCGAGCCCAACGAAAACCTTCTCCATGGGTCCAGCCCACTTGATGGTTTGACGTGAAGTCTCAGATCCATTGATGAATTTGGGACCTTGAAGGTGTACTTGGCGCTGTAGCATCTGCTGGAACAGTGCGAATTTTGTAGGTGGTAGAGCGAGAATCGTCGTTTTCGCAGTCATCGTCGAGGTCGATGAAAGGAAGGATTTTTTGTTCGCGCAGCTTAGACTCGAAGCTGGTGTATGCGTCTTTGGCAATCTTCAAGGTGAGGAATAGTTTGAGGGTAGCTGAAAGCTATTGTGTTTGTTAACAAAATGCACTAACGCTAAAAGCTGTTAAAGATCTTTCGAGTGTTTGAGTTTGAGAGAATGAATGTTAGAAGAGGATTAGAAAGCTAATAAAAACTAATAACCGAGAGAGATCCACAACCAAAGGATTCGTAGATCTGAACTCCCCGCGGGAGACTGTAGAAGTGTGATAGAGTAGGTTGCCGTAGCAATCATCCTCACTCCACGATCCAAAACGGAACGGCCGTGGAAGATTCGTCTAGCATTTATCTAGTAGCGTGGAAGTACTCCCACGCTGGCTAAATATCTAGAGCGATGTTTCATCATCAACCTAGTATAAACTAGAGCGGTCATTAAGAACCCTGTCTCAATGACTATTCACGAGAGACTCAGTCATGAGTCGAACTCAAACCCTATCTAGGATCGAGTCGCGAATAAGGCTAAGAGCCGTGTATTGCATTGGGAACGATGGGATGCCTACTGCATCAGCCACGGAATTGACCCATTCCTACGCTCGCACACGGATCCAGTCCCAGTGCTCCAAGTCTTCGGCCAACGATACAGAGATGGCCGAATCGCCCCCAGCGGTCAACCAGTTCGATCTAGAACAGTGGAGGACGCTCTACGTGCCGTGGGGCAGGCGTTCGCCAGCATGGGGACCAAGGACATCCGCAAAGATGCCACTGGTGGCATCGATTTTCGAATCCAACGACAGCTCCGATCCTACAAGAAAACCGACACCCCCCCCAAACGAGTAAAACCACTTCCAATCACCATCATCCTCTACCTACTCGCGCAGATCTACAACGAACACAACAACAATCCACACGACGACCGAAAAGTCGTCATCAACATCATCGTGGTCGCATTCTTCTTCCTCCTACGTCCAGGAGAATACACAGAAACCACGGTTGCTGACACGCCATTCGCGCTGGAAGACGTGCAACTGCATTTAGGAGCACGTCGGCTCAATCACGAAACAGACAGCATTGCCGAAATTGAGGCCGCTACGTCCGTCTCCTACACATTCACCACGCAAAAGAATGGCCAAACCAACGAAATCCTCACCCACGGACGCAGTGGCCACCCGCTCTGCTGTCCAGTCACAGCCAGCATCCGGCTCGTCCTCTACCACCGCCGACAAGCAAAGTCCAAGCACGACACACCGATTGCCTCCTACTACCGCAACAACCGACGAATACGGGTCAAGGCAAAAGATGTTACGGACATGCTTAAAACAGCGGCAACAATCAACTACCACGAAACTGGCATTCCAGCCACCGAGATCAGTGCTCGATCGCTCCGGGCAGGAGGTGCCATGGCTCTCCTCTGCGGTAAAGTCGACGCAGACCTGATTCGCATGCTGGGACGCTGGCACAGTGACTCCATGATGTGGTACCTGCACCTACAAGCACAACCCATCATGCAACATTTTGCCCAAGCCATGTACAACAACGGCACCTACACGTTCCTACCAACCGAAACCGTGCCGATACATGACGAAACAGAACAATGAGGCACCGCCTGGCAGGCGGCACTGCCCCATAACTCCTCCGCCCCTCCTGGGGCTCCCTCCTTTCGCGTGCTTACTCACGCTCACAATTTACATGAAAAAGCGCACTTATGCGTCCCAATCCACACCACACTCTTTTTCATTTCCCACCCACACTCGAGTGTCACTCTCCGTTCCCACCCTTTCCCCCGTTGGCGGACAAATGGCGGCGGATGGAGGCCGCTAAAAATGCAGCCCAAAAACAGGAGTGGTGGTCCCATAGTAAAGCATGGAACCACCATCACATTGGCAGCACTAGCACCTCCAACTACCAGGCAGCAGGCAACAGAAGCCCAGAAAAGCAGCCCCGTAGGGGCTGCAGATCTGGGCTGGCGTGCTGAATGACCAAGTGCTTGAAATGGGCTCATAGCCTAGCTAGACTCAACAAGAGAGATAGGTTCCTCACCTCACAAGAGGCTTGGAACCTCCAGATACAGTTAGATAGGTTTAATTCGGCTCCCACCACTCCACACCCAGGCCGCTAAAAATGCAGCCCAAAAACAGGAGTGGTGGTCCCATAGTAAAGCATGGAACCACCATCACATTGGCAGCACTAGCACCTCCAACTACCAGGCAGCAGGCAACAGAAGCCCAGAAAAGCAGCCCCGTAGAGGCTGCGTATGTTCTTCCGAGAAGATAAACTTTTTGGAGGTACGGGAGATCGAATCCCGGGCCTTCCGCATGCAAAGCGGACGCTCTGCCACTGAGGACCGGTCCTATCCAGCTTAAATGACGTCCGTTCGTTCGCGAAATCGAAATAACGGCTCAATTTCCTCCAAATCCATACGTTCGGCGAACCGCAGAAAATGTTTATAGTAAAAAAGTGGAGCTGCGGTTCGCCGAACGTGTGGATTTGGAATTCGCGTAGGACCAATCAGAACTCATTATCTCGCACTATCCCCAACTCTAGCGAGTTTCGAAAATCAGAACTCATTATCTCGCACTATCCCCAACTCTAGCGAGTTTCGAAAATCGAAAAGTGAGATCTCCTTTCGAGCACGTCCTCGAATCATTGAAAAGTGAGAAGAAGTACATGCATGCATGTACCACGGTGATTGCGTTTTGGCAGAATGCTCAATGAGTTTCACCCTAACCCTGATGAGTTCGGCTTATTCGCGAATGACGTATCTGCGAATGGTTAAGAATGAAAACACATACGCGAAAATAAATGTGTTTCCTGTGCGAACGTACGAACCACATGAATGTGGTTAGGACCAGCCCTGAGCTATACCCCCACCTAACTAGTCTACTGGCTGCTAAAATCAAGGGGTGCAACTGATCGTAATGGTTGCGGGTGTGCATTGGGCTCACTCTCCCTCGCAGCTCTAGTTCCAGCAACATACTGGACTCCTTGCGTTGCTTCAGCTACGCTGCATACGGTTTTCAGTGTCACGTCCACCACAAGAGGCTGTTCCTTCAGCTCACATTGTGCGTCAAAAGAGTTTCTGCCTCGTTACACATACCGGTACGCGCTCTGAGAGAGAAAACAGGTCTTGATCATCAGTCGAGGCCAGGGACAAGTAATCGCTGTGGAATCGAGCAGCCACTCTTTGCTACGTAGACTCGACTCGGTTGGGAAAGAGAACGAGGAAATACACCTTCACCATATGCTTTGCTCCTATTTCTTTGTTGCACAGATTCAACAAAACAGGCTCGTAGATCACAAAGCCCTAGTACTCTTTACGTCTTACTAGTAGAATAGAATTGATTTATTGTTTGTCAGGGTGTGTAATTCCAACCACTCAACAGGATATTTCATCCTTACGAGTCACCAGCAGCAGCCGCCTCCTGTTCGACCGAGTCAATGACTTCTTGTGCTTCCTCCTTTGTCAAGATGCGGTGGACACATTTCTTGCTTTCGTCCAATTTCATGGTGAAAAGCTCCATTTTCTCGGCCGCAGCCGACCCAGTACCATCCATAGTTTTGTTCAATACTTTGACGGCCAATTTGAGTGCCTCCTGCACATCTGGGATTTCAGGCTCTTTGTCTTCGTCCATCTCTCCTTCTTGCTTCTTTTTGTAATCGCTTTTCAGAATTGACTTCCCAGCCTGATTGTTGGCTCCAATGACAGTGGCCTTCCATCCCGAGTAATTTCCACTGGGATCGGATTGATAGAGTTGGAAGCCGTGGTGTTCATCGTACCCCGCAAACAAAAAGGCCACTCCAAATGGCCGAAGACCACCTCGCTGCGTATAAAATTGCTTGTAATTGCACACATACTCCACCAACTGCTCCACAGGAATCGGTTCTTGATACTGATAGTGGTACCGACCCGCCCGAAGCCGAGCTTGCTCAATCAAAATATTGGCATCGGCAGTCAACCCAGCCACATTACACGAGGCGTGAGGGCACAACGTGTAGGTTTTTTCAGACGTCTACACACAAGAGCAGAGCAAGGATCAGTATAGACCCTTCAGGTCACTGTGGCACTGCAGGTAGTTGTGAAAGAGCGCGATTCACCCACAGCGGCTTACCTTGGCTGGAGCCAAAAGACCACTGGTGATCCTTCGTTCACTAGCCATGACAATTCCATCTTTGGCTAGGATTCCCACACATGTACCAGCATTGTTGATTGCTTCAATGGCATATTCAACCTGGTCGAAAGAAGAACAAGTGGAAGTGGACAGTTGGTAGTGTCAGAAACAGTACAATCCAGAGCGACGGCACCCAAATCGACCATGTTGTATCTTTCGAAAATAAAAGAAAGCACAGAACTCATTCTCAGTGCGAGAACCTACCTGATGCAGACGGCCCTCAGGCGAAAAGGTGGTGGTGGATGAATCGTATCGACGGGCCATGGTGAAAGACTCTCAAAAGATAGCAGCAACAGCGTTGTGACGGCAAGCAAAAGATAGCAAGAGCGCAGATCATGGGCCGAGAGACGAGATCCTTGGCCTTCGAGACCCTTCGTTGAGATTAGCCTTAACCCTTTATTTTCCACGCCGATGCTCCACGGTCTCGAAGAAGACCGCCTTTCAATCCATCACACATCCATCATCATCCTCCTCCATCATCCTCCCTGTACTGTACCAGGTATGGCGTACCGAGACAGTAGATCTAGCTAGTAGTCTACCGGCGGTACTTCCGTATCATCGTACCATGTACGGTACCATAAAGTACAGATAGATCAAAACTATTGCTCTGGATCTAAAGATTGTGTATTCTTTGCCACAGTTTTACACACACAGTCTCTTATATTTTGATCATAACATCACCAGCATCACAAGGAGATAACTCTACTATGCCAGCCACAGAGCCTTTGTTCGAACCTTGTCCTGCATGTTAGAAAGAAGCAACCCTGCTAGCGGTCGGCAAGGGTAGACTTTTCTTCATCTTCCTGCGGACACCAGTAGCAAGCCTGGTCACTAGAGGCAGTTTGAAATTGCTGCAGATTTTGTTGTCGTTCTCTTCTGCATATGCATATCCGCATTCTTCTTTGTGCGTGCTTTCCCAGTGACTCCCCTGGCACACTCTGTTGCAGTAAGCAGCTCTCTTGCAAACCTTGCAACGGTGGAAGGACCCCGTGATCAGCTCATACTTGCCACAATTGGCGCATTTGCGCAGTCTCCTTAGATCCAGCGAAAACAGTCTTTTCTCTCCCTTCTGTTGAGGGTCGTGAGCAATCAGTCTTGGGCGCTGAAACTTGTACGTGCGGCAGAGCAGCTTTGCTTCCAGCCCTGGTCCAAAGCAGCCTGCCACAACATCCTTTTCCGGGCCTTTACGAATGCCATAATGGATACCAACAAAGAATTCATCTTCATTCGTCTTGTCGAGAATTCCATTGATATATTCTCGCATGGGACTAGTGTCATCGAATCCACAGCAACGAGTCGCTTCGTCGCGATTCATAATCCTTCCAAAGCCGGTGACATCAATTGGAGAAGTAACCTTCCTATCCTGTTGTAGTCTTCCCATCAAAACAAGTCGAATGCACTTGCGACGTAGTCTTTCATCCTTTAACCAATCGAACTTGAGCTTCCATGAATTTGGGAGACAGTCCGGGAAGAATAGATCCATGTGCAGGATCTTTTCCGTCTTTTGTTGGTTTTGGTGTGAATTCGACGACTGCAACAAGATATCGGTATGTATGGAGTTTCCCCTTTCCGCCGACTTTCCATTGCTGGTATTGAGCGGAGAAACCGTTTGCAAGAACGAGATATGAGATGAAAGCGAATCGAATCTCCAAGGCACAGCTGATGCCCGCATGATCTTACCATGGTGTGCTGCTACCAGTACTGTGACTACAGCTGCCATGACTACCGCAAAGTGTACCGGTAGCCAACATGCAGCACGCAGCCTCTCGTCCAGCTGGGTCGTTCAACGCCTTATCCGCTTCTTCGGCCAGAGCTTGCATAAAGCCTAACTTGCGAGCCATTTCCTTTTCTTGGGGTGACTGAAGAATTGGAAGGCAATCAATCAAGAGCGCCACTGATTCGGACGAACTGTGGACTGATCTATATTCGAGAATGATGAGTAGGTCCTGGTTGTCGTTGGCAATCTTGACGAGGAGTTTTTCTAGCTCTTCTGGTCTCTTGACGGCATCAAAGCGTTGCCAAGAAGCCGATGGCAGGAAATACTCGAGGGCACGCGATGTGCATCGGTAGGTGACCCCATATGTCAATGGTTTTAGTAGATTGAAATGTCGGGGCATCTTTCGCTTTGTGATTCGATCGATTCGTGTGCCCATGAGTCGGAAATTGTCGACTGTGAGAAACCCAATGGCCTCCCGTGGCTTTCCCATGGACGTGAATCGGCTAATGGAAAGGAAGCGTGCCTTGGTTTCTTCCACCGCATCCAACAAGGTCTTGACACGGATGACATGTTTGGCCCTTTTGCGTTCTTTGTTAATGTCTTCGCCAAACTTGAGCAGAGCAGACCACTCCTGGCATCGACGATGGGGCCCGTCGTATCCACTTGCCGATAAAGGTCCAAAACCACGAGAGTTGAGGTGTTGCTCGCTTTCATCCAGTGTACTAATGACTTTCTTGGCGGAAAAGAATGCTCCTGGGGCGCTCATTGTGTGATTTGCCATTGCATCTGCGTGGGAAGAAGGACGCCTTGAGAGAGAATGCCAGTTCGTCCAAAAGAATGAGAGAGCAACCCCACCACCTCACCTATCTATCCTTGGGGCACCCCTCATCTCTCCTGGTTCACATAGGCACATCTCGAGTACCTGGGTGCGTTTTATAACGCTATTTCAGTTGGATGCATTGGTGCACCTTTCAGTATTATAAGGGAAGTCGAGGAGGGTGCTCTTGGTGCTCTTGCATGGTGCTCTTGGTTGAGGCGCTCCTTCGAATGTTTGTTGGGACCTCAGTTTCATTCGTGGATATTTTTAAGCCTTAACCCTATTTCCTATTCCAGCTTCATTTTTGCGACCATCCATTTCCTCCCAATCCGAAGCTGAAGGCCCAATGTCAGTTCTCAGGAGCTTCGGAAACACAATACCGGTACATGTACTAGTAGTCTAGGTCCACTCCACTACATATAAGCTAGATCTACTCTAGCTAGTAGTAGTCATTCACCAGCAATAGCAATGCCGAGCCTTTGTGAAGGGTGTGGCAAAGAATTCAAGTCTAGGAATGCCGTCTTTCGTCATTTGAAGGAGACCGACGGTGCTTGCCTGGATGCAGATGCCTATCGAGACTTCCATCGCTACGTCCTGTTGCAAGATCGGAAAAAGGTTCTCTTGCTCTACGGATATTTGATTTTGCCGCAAGACCAAGAATTTTCCAGCAGCCAAAAGAAGAAGAAGAAGACACAATGGACCAACTGTATTTCCAATGGCCACGACGCTGCCACCAAGCTTCTCGATACTCTGGAAGAGTACATTATGCCACCTGACGATGATGATGATGATCCACAACAACAACAAGACACCAATAGCAAAAAGGAAGCACCAAAAATCTGCCGTGCCTATGGAAACAGCGGGCGGAATGTGGATGTCTTGGAACAAGATGATCGGACCGGTGCGATAACAGAAGTACTGGGCACGAGATTGCCCATGATTGGAAACAAGATATCCATGGACCAGTGGCTCGATGGGATCAATGCTCTCTTGGATCAAAAGGGATTCCCCATGCGACTTCTGGGTCGTCTGGACATGCCCCATGCCAAATTTAATGCCGAAATGGATACCACGTTTCGACGTGTCGAGTACTTGCTACCAGCTGATTTCCTTTTACCAGGACAACCTTTGGGGACGAACGACTTTTACAATTCTCTACCCAGTTTTGTCGATGGATTTCACAATCACAATCGAACTGATAAAGTCTCGACGACAAACCAGCCTACCAACGACCAAAAAGTTTCTCAAATGGAAGAGTTGAATGCAGAAACCAGTCGACCCAACAATGAAACTCTCACTTACTTATTCGCTCTCAAGAAGAAAATGCAGCGATTGACAACCAAAGTTGTCGAATTGGATAAGCAAAATGAAGGGGACGTCTTGGAAAAGAACTTTCACAAGCAAAAGCGAAAACGGCAACGCTTCAAGACGGACCACCGAGATCGATCACATAATAATAGTAATGACAAAAACAAAAAGAACAACAAAAAGGTTGGCAACAAAAAAAACAAAAGTGGGGAGCATGCTTCCATCAACGAAGACAACCAAATGGATCAGGAGATGAAAGATATTGACGACGACCACGGAGACGAGGACAAAGCCGCTGGTGGCAAAGCAAACAACAAAAGAGGGAAGGATCAAAAGCCGATCAAAAAGGTTTTGAGACGAAGACGATTTCACAATTTCACTCCCAGAAGTATGGCACACAATTACTTTGCCTATCGACGAATGGATCGCATGTACCATCGGGCTACCCTTCGATTTCCAGAAAATGTGTACGAGGAGGTCGAACAACAATGGCAGCAGCAAACCAACAATCCACCTGTCACGTACGATCGCAATCGTCCTTTTCTGGCAATGTCCATTTCCGGGGATCTCTTCTTGGAGGGACAAACCTGTCGCGTTATGGGTGTCCTCATTGCATTGGCACGAGGGCTCATTGACGATGATTTTGTGGAGTGCGTTTTTGACGAGGACTATCCTCATCTGGTTCCCACACCAGAGGCACCGCCGTTTGCCATGTATGCCGCGGAAACATACTACATGAGTTGGGAAGGCAAGGTCCGAAAAGTCTTAACTCCTCGGAAAAGTGACGTGTTTCCAGAAGGGTGGAACGACCCTTCTACACTGCGGAGGGTCAGTGAATGGCAGGCAGTGATTCGTGAAGAGATTGCCAAGGCTTGGTTGTTCAAGGGTATAGATCCCATCGATGGACGCTTGCTAGAAGAGAAACGGTGGACCAAAGAGGTGCTGGAGCCTTGGGTGGTGCAAGCCCGCCAACAGTTGGAAGAGTATCGTCAGTGGAAAAGGGACAAAGATGGTAACAGCAACGGGAACAGCATGGCTGCTTCACTCCCACCTCTCAGTTCCATTGATACTTCTGTTCCAGCTCTCTATCAGAAAGTTTTGCAGTGCCTTCGCGATGTTGATTCCAATGGACGCTGGCCCACTACGACTCCCAAGCGGCAAATGGTCATGGTTTCCACTTCGCTGGAAAGCGACAACAACAATACCGGCAGCGAGCAAGACAAAAAGACGAATGGATTCTCCTCGTTATCCATGGCCCACATGATCGCTCGTAACAATAAACTTGAGAGATCGTCCGCGTACGAGTTCCAGGAAGGCGAGGGCGGAGCCAGCGGAAGTTTCTCGGTGGGTGCCATGCCGGGAGTTCAGTGCACTCAGCCAAAGGCGAACACAGCGTTTCCCGACTTGATGAAGGCGGCGTTCGAGCTGGAGCGGGCGTTGCTGCCGGACAGGGAACCCAGTAGTACCATTGCCATCAACAGGAATGCCCAGTTTCGCCCGCACACGGATAGCGGAGCCGGAAGTGGTCAGAGTACAAGTCTCATTGTGGCGTTTGGAAATTTCGTCGGTGGAGAGCTGGTAGTTGAGGGTAAAAAAGAGGACATTCGTTACAGGCCATTGGAATTCAATGGGTGGAAGCAGCGGCATTGGACCATGCCATTCCAAGGGGAGCGTTTCAGCCTAGTATGGTTCACCCCAAAGGGATGCGAAGGCGTTCACGGCATCGACCTGTGCAGAGATTAGAAAGATTGGTGACAGGGTGCGTGGATCATGGCGTTCGAAGCGAGCTACCATTGTAGTATAACTATTGGTTTAGATGCTTTGGCTGGACTGACTCCAAAGTCATCGTATTTTTATTTGTCGGCATCGATACCGGTACATGTATGTAGAGTGACGAGTCGAGTCGAGTCGAGTCGAGTCCTTGCATACTAGCTAGCTCTACTAGTTAGCTACTACCGGTAGCTACTAGCTAGCTAGAGAGCTAGTAACTTCAATTATCATCTTGAGGTGTCTTGAGTCACGATCGACCTCCAGTCCCTCTAGCTAATCTAAAGCAATTGGCACCTCGAGCTTTGTTTTTTGTTTTTCCCATTTTTCTCTTCTTTCTTCTCTCATCGTCTCTCTCAATGAAGTGCACATGCATGTCTAGCTAGCTACTAGTCTAATGTCCTGCCGCAAGATGTATGTGTTGGTGTTGATGATTCTAATCTTGGGGATTTACATTTCGCTGCAGGTATCCATGTTATCTAAACTTGGTCTTCCGGCGACGCCACAGTACACGGCGCGAACGACCCAGAGTCAGCAGCGACGACATCGGCAATGGGTCCGATTGATTCAGATGAGACGACAACCTGGATATGAGAAGAACACAAATGGGGCATTCATACACATGGGAAAGACGGGGGGATCTACGTTGTCACTTCGGTTACGGAATGGGTGCCATAGCTACATGACCAAACCTTGTCGGTCGGTTCCACTAGAAACCGTTGCGTCGCGTCTCGTGGGAACCTATTATCATGGTGTGTAACTCGTTGTATGAATGGAGAAAGAACAACGCATTTTCCTTGGTTGCATCTAGTTTACATACATGTATCCTCATGATTATTATGTCTTCCTTCTTTGCTGCAGTCCCTGACTTTGGATTGATTCCTCAGAGCAAACACCCCTTCTACATCATGACATTGCGAGATCCATTCCAACGATCTGTTAGTGCCTTTGTCTACGAGCACTTGGACAACGTCAAGGCACGAGGAGAAACTATCAGTCCTCTCTCCGAAGAAGCCAAGACAGAAGCGAAGAAATGCTTTCCCACACTCGAAACATTCGTAGAGTACATTGGAGACAATCCAGATGACTATGATTATCCTTACCATCGAAGCCAAATTGTTGCCACCAATTGTACCAGCTTGGCACGGGCCGTCATGGATGCCAAAGTAAGACGATTCAATCACTTCTTCTTTCCATTCCAAAAGATTCGAGACTTTATACCAACCGACAATAATCCAATCATCTTTGCGACACGACAAGAACATTTGTGGTACGATTGGAAGAAAATCAACTTTTTGTTGGGACAAGTGGGAGATGTCGTTACACCACCCGACAAGGCACGAGACTTGTCCGACGTCAACCAACCCGTCACTCGAGATCTTTCCGAACTGGGAAGACACAGACTCTGTAAAGCTTTGCAAAAGGAATATGATGGATACGTAAGAATACTACGAGAAGCAATCAACTTGAACGACAAGGATGTGGAAGAAAGCCTGGCAGAAATTCATCAGAACTGTCCCAATGTCATTATCTGGGATGAACCAGATGGGGCTTGAATAAGAATCGAATGAATCATGGTGCTATCTTCTGAGAGCATTATTTTGCTGGACAACTTGTTTAGGTTGCCACCATCAAAAACAACCGATCTTTTAGGTACGAAAGATTGCCCTTGTATCGGTACTACTGTAATGTATCTACCATTGTCCAAGTCAGTGCAACATGGCTGCCTCAAAAGTTGGATCAGGTTTCAAGTCGCTCCTTCACATAATATCTCTCAAGCTGGCTTGGTTTGCCGACGAGGCCGATGAGTGACACTGGCGGTCAACCATGGATGTCATTGCCAATCTACGGTATGCAGCATTGCACTGTACCGGTACGTACCCTACCATTTTCCAAGTCACGCAGCTATGTCAACGGACAACATGTTTGCTTGAAACAGTAGTGAAATCAAGAATTGCTGCAAGATGGCAAGAAACCCATGATTCTGTGGCGACAAGGCAGAAAGTAGGATGTTTGACATTGAACGAGCTAAAAATGCAATTAGCAAGCCTTATCTGATGATGATGCATGCCGGCCGGTGCACTGCTTTTCAGAAACAAGAGCTTATCTGCTATGCTACGGTTGCTAGTATCGTTTCAGGCTAGTTAGCTAGGTATCTGGCCACCAATCATCTTCATCATCAAAGACATCGCGAACACTGCTGCCATTCTGGCCCGCGTTGTTGCTTCGGTGTCGCTGGTTCTGGCCAGATGGTGATTGCAGAGACATTTCATCACTATCATCGTCATCAGATTGGATCTGCTCCTGCTCATGGCGGCGTGAGGTTAGATCGTCGTTGGAGGATGTGGAAAAGTCAAGCGAGCGAAGACCATCAGATCGTTGAGAGTTGTCATCGTCCCGATCACCATCGTTGGTTGAGTTTCCGGCGCCTTCGTTGATAGTTGTATCAACAGTTTCGTCATCGTTGCCGTTTTTGGCATTTTTGCCTTTCTTCTTTTTGGATGCTGCCTCCTCTTCGTGAGCAGCAAGAAGTTGCTGCAGGCGCTTCTCGATGCGACATCCGATTTCTCGCACTAGACTCTGTATGGCGTGAGCACTTCGATTCGTCTGTGAGTCATTGTTGGCTTGGCTTTCAGCAGCGCCTTCGTCTTCCTCCTCGTTCTCGTCTGGCGGTACCGCTCTATCTGGGCCATCATCATCGTCTGCGCGGCGAACAGTCTCGTCTTGACTGCTACCGGAATCGTGCACATCATCTTCAGTCTTCTCTTCCTCATTTCTCGGGCCATCTTCCCCGTCATCGCCATCTCCTCTCTCTTCCTCGTCGTCGGACCCATCTGCCCCATCAACGCCACCGTCACCTTCAGCTTGAGCCCGACTGCTATCCCACTCGCGTATCAGTTCCGTCATGCTGCTCCGAAAGCTCGAGTCGGTTGACTTTGAAATAATCGATGCCAGGGATGCTGCCACAGCTGGAACATAGCGAGCGTCACGCTCAGCCCGTTTGAGCTGTTGAGCCGTCAGCAATATGTCTGGATTTGTCTTTTGAAGGCTGCGGAGGCACTCTCGTAGCGCTACTTCCAATGCCTTGTCAATGGCTGCGTTGTCCAAGGGGAGGCGTCCCTGAGGGCAATGATGGAGTTTCAGACCAACTAGAAGACAAAATCTAGAAAACAGCAACAAACAGACCCATGAACCTACCTTGGATAGAGTTGGCAGAGGCAACGTGGAGGGCTCCGCATCAATCTGCATCACCACCAATATCTTGCCTAGGCGGATCCCGGCTGGCAAGAGCCAATTCCGACGTTTCTTCCTCTTTCGTTTCCCTTGTCTGCGCAGTACATCTTCGATGTCAATGTCTAGGTCACTATCCTCCTCCTCTTCTTCTGGTTCTTCATCAAATGTGTCTTCAAACAAAGCGTGATTAGCGCTCTTGAAAAAGGGCGCGACCTGATCACTGTCATGGACTTGAAAGGTTGGCAGTTTCGTCAATGCAAGCTTGCCGGCATGGCTATCGCCTTGGACAGCTGACTGGCCGAGTGGTCCCGTACTAGTGACCTCCAGACCAAACGAGTTCCAGACCCTTTTCTTTAGCAGCAAGCCCTGTACAAGTCCACAAGAGCTTGCTTCGGCTCCATCTAGTAGAGGAATTCGGTTGACCATACGCACCATCATCAAAGTGGCCGCTTCCGACGACGATGCATCCAGCTGGCGGTCTTGCAATTCTCTGTAGACGCTATCGTCCTCATCGTCTTCCTCGTCCCTCTCTCCGTTGTCGTGGACAACCCCACAAGCAACAAAGCAGATCGCCAAGGAAGGTCCCGCGTTCTTTGCTCCCCGAGTCCGTCGTTTGGGCTGTGAGCCAATGCGAATAGGTTGGCGTGAAATGGCCACGTTCTTGAGCTCGACAGCATGTCCCAAGTACAGTTCCACTGCCCGGTGCATGTCTTGGCGTTGCTGTTCTTGTTGCAATTTGATTGTGGCTGCGGTTAAACGTTTTGTTGCTGTATTTGCTTTAGTGGATGGGGTCACTACGACGACTGTTTCGCCGTCCTTGTCGTCTTCCTGGGGGGCGGTTGCTTGTGTGGGAGAGACAGAGTCTTCACCCCGACATTCTGGCTTGTCTTCGTCGTCAAATACGTCCCCCCAATCTTCCTCTTCTTGTGTGTTGTCGTTTGCTTCGGGACACTGGTTGGTTGAGCTACGATCGTCTTCCTGTTCCTCTTCTTCCGGTCTCTGTTGCTCTTGTAGCCTTTGCTGCTGCTGTTGCCGATTCCGTTCCTCGAGTGGCGGACGAACAAACAACGGAGTTTTACTGAGTGTCGGTGCCATGACCTCCAAACTGCAAGGAAGTGAGCAACTGAGGCGGAAGCGAGCAAAGTACTCTGCCAATCGGGGCCACGCCAATCGGGCTGTGGGTCCTCCCGGCACTAGGATACTAACGGATGTCCCACACTCGTTTGGTTTGGTTTTGGCAATGTCGCTTCGGATCTCCACGCAGCGCACGGAATCCCCCTCGGTATCAACGACATAGGAAGCCTTCGTGAAATGAGTGGCTGACGCTGTGGCCGATGTAATATTGGCGCACGAGTTTGGGACCAGACGTTGGGCATGAAGCAAACACAGTGTCAGGCCAATCCCATAGCGACCGGCCGTCATGGATTCTTTCTGTTGTGGTTCATCTTGTTGTTGGGTCGAATTGTTGTCGGATGTTCCATTTCGTCCCGCTTTGCTACTCTTGAAAGCTTCCACGCACTCTTGAATGTTCTCCATTCCACAGCCATTGTCTGATACTGTGACACGAAGGATTTGAGCGCGACCGGTGCCAACTTCGCGGTCCTCATCGCTCGCCACAGGCACAGACTTGGCTCTGTCGGTGGCTGTTGCACCATCGTGACCAACAAACGTGGCATTTTCGTAGTCTTCTGGTTTTGATGACTTGTCATCCTCTTCATCACCATACTCCTTTTGATCCGGCTGCTGTTTCGAAAGGGATGGAGGCGAGAACTCTTCAATCACGACTCGCACTCGTTTGTTTTGGCTTTCTGTTGTAGCAGCGTCATTGGTAGCAGCAGTTCCCTTCTTCTTTTTGCCTTTTCCCCTTTCTCTTTCTGTTGTGCTCGCCAACGACATTCCACAAGCATCAACGCCATTGTCAACCAGCTCTTTGATGATTTGAGCAAAGGCGTCGAAATCAGCCACAGCTGCATTCGCATCGTCATTGTCATTGCCGCCAGCATTCAACAGGCGGAGCAAACCTGGAGCTGTGCTTTCACTCCCAAAGCCACCCAAACTTGGATTCGAACGAAAGGTTCTCAGAGCCATTGTGATTTGGACGTGTTTTCTGTTGCACGAAAGAGGCTAGCTAGATGAGAAGTTGGATGTTTTCAGAGGGAAAAAGGCGCTGAAGAATCGAGGGTGGAAGCGCTGACTTCTCGCCGTCAGCATGCAAGTCTCCAACAACAAAACGACCGAAATGCCGTACTGGTATGCTTTCAAGCGGTCCCACTACTACTGGTACAACAACGTTAGACGTCAACAAGGCCCTATGGACTGGTCAAGGAATAGTCTTGATGCTGTCGACGGCGGTGTGGAGAGATTGTCATTGTTTGGGTCTTTCAGCCAACTGAGCTGTAAACATTTCTGCTCCATTTTCAAGCTCGCAAGCACCATCGCTCACCAACAGTGTGTTTTCGCCCACACAAAGTTTCCCAAGGTTGCCTCTCATCAATGTAAGGTGGAATCCAGCGCTTTGTTTTCAGCAGTTGTTTTGATACTAGCTCTTGCGGTGCCCCTTACTCAATCTGCACGTTATTTGGACATGGCAACACTGCCATGCATGTGGTGCTTGAATTACCAAGTTGGATTCCCCAACAGCACACTATGATGGCCCTCCCCCCCCTTTTTTAAATTCACCGAGTCAGCACCAACAAAAAATTCATCCCAACACCTCTGAAATCATGCTTAGAAAGTCACGCCCTCTACGAATGTCATTGTAGCCAGTGAGTGGGATTGTGTGGGGAAAATTCCTTTACATCAACTGCTATCTAGGCCTTCGGGGAGAACTCTGGTCTCATCATTTTTAAAAAATAGACAAGATCAAAGTCGAACTTTCCATGATAGTCAAGTGTAATCATTGATGTATGTCTCCAGCTAGAGGGTACTACAGTAGTAGATACTGGCAAGCACCACATCCTGTCCCTCTCCTAGACTGGTCCTCCTGGATTGCTTCCATTCAACCGACCCACTTTGACTGTGCTGAATCCTACAGTTTCCAGCAGAGCTGTCAAATTGGTTCTGTATTGGTATTAATAGACCGCACACACGAGCTCCACTTGTCACTTAAGAGTCAGTAGATGACGATTGACCTTTAAAAAATGACAAGTTACAGAATTCCTTCCAGTGGTGACAGCCTGCAGTATTAAACACCATTGAAAAAAGCTACCGTCTAAATAGTGAAGAATCTTTTGATGACTGCTCATAGTTAGACTTATCCTTTGTGATCTTGACAGACTTACAATGACCACTCTGTGGTCGTAGAGATGTCAGCAAGCTACTGGTTCTCTTATAGAGCCGTCAAAACTCGAGTACTTCTCATTTCAGCTTTACAAATCTGAAGGATCCAAGAACGACGCGATCGGCACGCACCGAACCGAAAACCGTTCCAGTGGATTTGTCGCTTACCCAGTCATTAATGCCACTGAGGGCGGGGTGTTGCTCTGTCCGTGGTTACATTGGCAGCATGCATGAACAGCACCACAACAACTCTATCCACTACATGTATTAGCTGTTTGCTGTTGATATTAGCACCAGAGACAACCACTCCTTCCGAGACAAACAGGTCCTTCATCTCCCGATACCCTTCGACCAACCGATCAAAGTAGCTAATAGACGACAACATCACCATGAGCCTTGCTCGAGCCGCTCCCGCAGTCCGCGTCGTGAACCAGACGTTCTCGTCATGTAGTCTCGAGAAGGGTACCACCCACTCTGCCATGAGTGGCATGAGTATGTCGGAAGACGACGTTGACTACGAGCTACCCCAGGATGTAGCTGATCGATTGGTGAAGCGCACGGAACTTCGTGTCTCGCAGGTGATTTCTCAGTCCAAGTTTGTCCAGACGCACTGTGGCCTGTACGATCTACCCAGGTTCGCCCATGAAGACCTGAACATTGGACCCATGATTGCGTATGGAGGCTTTAGCAATGTGCACGAGATTGAATCCTTCAAGATGGATACCCCATTGGTAGAAGGAGACAACGAAGGCAAGAGATACATTATCAAGCATCTCAATCCCAAGCTAGCCTTCAACCCCAAGAAACTAGTGGTGGGAGCCAAGGATTTGGTGATGGAGGCACACTTCTTGTCCTCCTTGGACCATCAACACATTATCCGCCTCAGAGGATGGTCAGCTTCGGGAATCGCTGGCTTTGCATCCACTGGACGAGCAGATGGATTCTTCCTCGTCTTTGATCGATTGGATGCCACCCTCAGTAAGAGAATATCCATTTGGCGAGAAGAATCCAAGCGACGCGTCAAAACATCCATTATCAAAAACAATCGCAGTGCGGCTCGCATGCAGCTCTTTAACGAAAGGATGAAGACTGCCATTGATATCTCGGGGGCCATCTCCTATCTGCATTCAAAGAGGGTCCTCTACAGAGATCTCAAGCCCGCCAACGTCGGGTTTGACGCCACTGATTGTCTCAAGATCTTTGATTTTGGGCTTGCAGTCGAACTGCCGGAAAGCAATGATCCCAACCAGACGTACAACTTGGCAGGGAATACTGGAACAAGGTGAGTTTGTTGGAACTAATGGTCAAAGGTAGCCGGGATTGGCTCGAATGGATTGTCTGACACTCGGTTGCTTCGTATTCCTTTCTCTCGTAGTCGATACATGGCTGTAGAAGTTATCCGAAAACAACCCTACAACTGCAAAGCCGACGTTTGGAGTTTCTCGGTTTTGCTGTGGGAACTCATGGCCCTCACTAAACCGTACGATGGGTTGGTGGGACATCAGGTGAAGGAATGTGTCTCGGTGTTTGGAGAACGGCCCTCCATTCCCCGATCCTGGCCTACACAGGTTAGACGGTTACTGCGACGCGGATGGTCCGAAAACATTGCAGATCGTCCAACCATGGATGAAACCCAAGAAATATTGGAAAAGTTACTCGAGTCTTCCACCAAAGAAAAGACCAAGACATCCTTCTTTGGATCGTCGAAGAACAAGGACTAGAGAGGAGGCTGCTGGATTTTGAAATTGTAGCGGCCACAACAATAAAAAGGTACACAACCACAACAATAACCATCATAAAATTTTATAATAGCTACAGCTCGGAACTGTAGAACGTAGGACTATCTCATGGTCGTATAAGCAAACGAAGATTTCGGATCCTTTGTGTATCGGTGAGAACTACACCGGTACCTAGCTGGCTAGTAGTGGTGCAACTGTGACTGCCGCCGGTCCAGCGTCGGGGCTCGTGGACATTCCGGAGACCAAGCCGTAGCAGGAAGGATGCATGTAGTTGCGGCACATCTGGCAGCGAAGGACAGCAGCTCAAGCAACATACTATAGTTCGCGAATCTGGTTGGGGAGGCATGAAAGTAATTGTCAGGCCGTCGATCGAAGCGTCTCGCTAGCTAGGTCTCGCGCGAGCACCACCTGCAGCATAAAGGTCCGTCCCTGGGCTAGCACTCTGTCAGTGTCAAGAGTGACACCTTGAAACAGACGGGTTGACCTTGGGCTTGAAGGAAAATCTAAGTCTAGCAACTGTTTGGCACGCTCGGTTTGGGCGCACGGTGCGTCTTTGCAACAAAGTGGTCAAAGCAAGGTTCTCCTCTTGGAAGACCAGGCATGTTCCGTTGAAAGGCTTAGTTAAATGTGGCAACTTACATTGCAATGATTTGCACAACTACAACCCAAGCTATAAAGCAATTGGCATTTCACTCGCTTTCAGGACTTCACAGTTGTCCCAAATTTTTGCAAAAAGTTTGACACGTTTTATGAGCTTTATGGCTCCACTTCGGCTCTGCTTTTATTACTATCGCGGACAACCCGGGGATACGAGACAGTTACTTTTAAAAGCTAGTTAGTAGAAGCTGTCAACGAGTCAGACTAAGAAGAGCTCAAAAAGTAAGTTGTAGTTACCGTTGATTGCCCTTGGCTGGATCCATCATTCCCAACTGGATCAATATTTCCTCCTCTTTCTGTACCATGAGCTCGTATTCGTCATCTTGCTCATGATCATGTCCCACTAGATGTAGCATTCCATGGACCAGAAGCATATGGATCCGTTCTTCTGGGTCATATACCGTCGCCATGGCTCCGGAAACTCCCCTATCCTCCTCACTGTTGTTGTCGTCATATACTAAATCGGAATCTTGCTGCTGATTGTCAAACTCGGAATCTTCTTGACAACCTCGAATGACATAGGGTACATCAATCATCATTTCTCCGAGACTAAAGTAATCGGGAATGTTTTGAAATTCTGGTTCTTGCAGTCTCCCTGGTTCAATGGGTTCATGAAAGGGAAAGGACAGAATATCGGTGGGTTTGTTCATGCCTCTGGTTTCCAAGTTGGTTTCTTGCATGAGTTCATCTTCCACCAGATACAGCGATAGATCGTAGGTAGTGTATCCCAGAATCTCTCGTATTTGTTCCACGGTACGTTTGAGCCGGTCTTGGTCGATGTTGGGCAGTGCCTCTTGATAATCTTCCAGGACAATTTCACCGGGTGGATTGCCAGGGACTCCTGCTTTGGACCCCAGTAGGCGTGTCGAGGAAGAGTATAATAATGAGCCCCGACCACAATAGTTGGATGGCATTCGGATGGTTGTTGCGGAACGCAATATCAGTGAAGGTATTCTCGAAATATGAAAAGAGGTCTGTGGCAGCATGATGCTCGAAAAACCAAAAGCAAGTCTAGTGTGAAATGAAACAAGCAACACTAAGAGTACACTGTGGAATCGGACTATCACAGGCATGAGCAACGACACCAGTACTAGTACTGTAGGGGTTGTGGCTGGAGGAGGGGGTCAAATGATTGTCTTGCTAGCTAGCTAGCGCTAGTAGGGTTGATCGATAATACGGTGGATAAATAAATGCTGGTTGAGTGTGTTCGAAGATTCAGATTTGGATCTTTCCGAGCGCGGTTCGCACGGCGTGGATTTTTTGGCCAGCAACCATCTTTTTGATCGTCGACAGCAGCAATGACAAAACCTCTCGGATCCATCATCAAATTTGCACGCACTTCTTTCAAGTAAGGGTCTCTTCCATTTTCATCTATTACTGGCAGAGGTTAGCTAGTAGCAGGTTTCAACCCAACAATAACACCATGGCATCGACGGATGATACCACCGCTACTACCGGTACTAGTGGTAGCGACAGTACTACGAAAGAAGACACACCCACAGTTACCACTGAAAACAAGGAGAATGCAGACGAGAAGAAGGATACCAGTAATGCTGTGGAAGAACCCCCCGAGTTAAAGGAACCCATTTTATTTGACTGTTCTACCTTTGGTCATGCCAAAATGGTGGCTCTGGCCAACGGCACCTATCAAGATCGAATCAAGGCATCCATGCCAGCATCCGATGTCACTCCCGCACTTGCCCTCTCCCAGACACCCATGACTTTTTGGGAGGATTTTGTCGCTACTGCATTTTCGGCCTTTGGAGTGCCCGTGGCCGTCTTTAACATCCCCATTGCCTTGTTTGTCATTGGCAAATTCCTAGTGGGAAATGTCGCATTGACATTTCAACTATTTGGACTTTTTGTCATTCTCCCACTCGCTTTGATGCCGCAAAAATTCAATCCTGACTCTCTCCAGAGTTGGTTGGCATTGACCATGCTCAAGTATTATTCATGGAGGTTGCTCCTGGAGGAATTCCCATCTCCAAACAGACCTAGAATCTTGGTCGGACCTCCTCATGGAGTGTTTCCTTAGTAAGTACCAGTAGTGACAAGAAAACAACCAACCAACCACCAAGAAAATAAAGATGCAATGAAATTGGACTGGAACAGAAAACAAGTGGCCATGTTGTTGTAAGATCAAGTGTTTCTCACTCCTTTTTTCTTTCATAACAATTGTGCACACAGCGGATGCCTCATGACCATGATTTGTTATCCCAGCACAGCGGGCATTTTCTGTCGAGGTTTGGCGGCCAGAGCCGCAGTTGTGACACCCATTTTCAAACAAATCTTGAGAACCGTTGGCATTGTCGATGCCAATCGTGATACGGCTCGTCGGGTTTTGGAAAAACCAAGTTGTCTCGGAATTTCGACAGGAGGTGTCGCCGAAATCTTTGAAACCAACGCGGACGATGAAGTCATTCTGCTCAAGGAACGAGTGGGATTGATCAAGTTGGCAATTCGCACCGGTGCTGACCTCCAGCCCTGTTATATTTATGGCAGTAATGATGTTCTATCCTGTTGGACTGGGGAAGGCATTCCTGGGGCCAATGCCTTGCTCTCTCGGATATCTAGAAAATTGGGATTTGGAGTGATTGTCATTTTTGGACGCTTTGGATTGCCCATTCCTCGCAGAGTTCCATTGTTGGGAGTGTGTGGCAAGGCTATCCGAACGGATCACATGAAATGTGAGAATCCAACAAAGGAGCAAATAGAAGAGGTTCAAGGTTTGCTCATCAAACACATGGAGGCAGTTTTCCAACGATACAAGAAACTCTACAAATTCGATGAGAAACACTTGATCATCAAGTGAGATGAAAGAACAACAACAACTATCATTCTTCTGCATCCCTTGGCCGGGATGAGTCAATTTTGCAAGTGGAGGACCGATTGGTTGGTTGGGTTTTGGCTCTATTCGCCCTCTATTTGTGCATGTATTTACAGTATCTGAACAGCATGTGCCGCCTTAAGTAAGCTTTTCTACTCAACCCCTACTAGCTAGTCGTCACCAAAGGGGGAGAAAATACCCCACAGCGTTGAGAGGATGCCACCGCCGGTCTCTGAAGCTGCTTCGGATGCTGCCTCTGCAGCGGACTCGCCCAATCCTTCTGTCGTGGTGGAGTCTTCAAAGAAGCCACTATCAGAAAATGTAGGTTCATCCGAGGTGGTGCTAAAACTATCCGTGCTATCGTCGAACTGGGGCTCCTCGGAAGACGCCCAAGCAGCGTCCCCAAAGTCTTCGTCCGTGGAAGGGGTAGGGCTGCTGTCCCCGTCAGTGCCTGAAGGACTGCTATCTTCTGGTGCAGCATCACCAAACAGAGCACTCTGCGAATCCGCATCGATGTCATCTGATGGCATAGCACCAGAGGTGGCAACCGTTGCTTGTCTATCGGCTTCAATGGCTGCATCTGACGCCGCTACCATTTCTTCCCCGCCACCGACTCCATCTACGGCTGCATCGTCGGCACCAGCAGCCCCTTCGGCGCCTCCGCCGCTTCCACCGATACCAATAGGGATACCAATACCAGGTCCACCAGCAGGGACACGGCGGGCAATTTCGGCAATCATACGATCGGCTGGCATTCCTTGTAGCCAAACTCGTCCTGGTCCAGTCAAATTGGTCACAAACAATCCTTCACCACCAAACATGACGTTTTTGACTCCCTTGTTGCAGTTGCAAGAAGAATCATCAGGAGGATGAATCTTCACGTCTGTAGATCATATAGTACAATTTTTCCTCAGGCACTTACCGGCATCATTTGTACATCGTACTCCACAGTTGGCTCAAAACAAACAATGGAACCCGATGTGACTCGCAGGGATTCACCTTCCTCTAGCTCTTTGCAAACAATGGTTCCTCCCCCCTTGATCAAGACATCACCTTGGCCAGTCAGTCTCTGCAGGATGAAACCCTGTCCACCAAAGAATCCCGCCGTGAGAGACTTTGTATACTCCATTTCAATGTTCACAGTTGGGTTGCTGGCAAGGAAGGCTCCCCGTTGGCAGATCAGAGAGCTGTGTTCGAACTCTTCGAGGCTGAATCGCATGATTTTGGACGGAAAGTCAGTCCCCAAACCGACTGTACCAGTGCCCTCCTTGCCTTCGTATCGAAAGTCTGTCAAAAACATGTTTTGTCCTGTCATCATTCGAGAAAAGGCTGAACTGGCGCCCGACAAGTTGGTGTCCATGACAATCCCTTGTGTCATGAAGAGCATGGCTCCACTTTCGGCCCGAAGGGTTTCTCCTGGAGCTAAATGAACCGTGGCAATGTGGGACTCCTCGCCTTCAATCTTCGATGAGGCTTGGAAATCAATGAGCTTGGCGGGCAAGTTATCACCCGAAATAGGAGCCAGTTCGGACGAGGTGACAGAGGGTGGCTTGGGTTTATCATCGGACGAGAAGTATTGTTTGGCAACAATCGCTGCCGGTTCCTTTGACCGGTGTAGACGCCGCTGAAGGCTGCGCCTGGAGCTACGCCGCAGTAGCAACCCCACTGATGATCGAATCATTGTGTTGAGTAAGTCCACTACTACCGGTATTGGAAGAGCTCGGAGAGAATGGGAAAGACGAAAGACGAAAGACGAAGGGTTTGTGGTGTTTGGGTGATGGTGACTATTAGCTATAAGAATAAATAAATAAATAAATAAATAACTACTAGGATGAGGTTGCTGGGTATATCGGCGGCGCGAGCGTCCCCGGCCGGCCAGAAGCCATTCGAGCTGGGATATGGGGCCCAGTGAGAGTACAAAAGCAAAACAATGTAAATAACAAATTCGACTCACCAGGAGCTAAAAAAGTAAACTAACAAATAACGAAAGGCAATGAGATGAGAGGCTCATATGGAATTTGCGTACAACCAGTGCAGGGATGGATCAAGCTTGTAGCCCTCCCCAACATCTATATGAGCGGGAAGTCAGTAGCTGCCTTGGTTGTAGAGTAGTGCGCGCAAAACAATAAGGTGCTTTCTGGTACTGTAGAAAATTGTATGGGGCATCTAACTGCTGTTTGGAAGACTTCAAAAAGAGTGGAATAAAGGTGCTGCTAGAACGTCGCAGCTGCAAGGCTTGGTGCCAAACCGATTGAGAGTTAAGCAGATGTATACCTACTCCAGCTATCTGTAGCTGCTCAAGCTGGGGGGTGAACTGTGTATTGCAAATGTCCAATTGCAAAACGTTGTTTTTGTTGACTGTTGGCAGTCGTTATTTTACTGTTGTACTGGGACTTTAAATAAATTTTTTCTAAAATAAAAATGCAAAAATGAATTCATTTTAATGTAAAATATGATGTTTTTGACGTTTTTACAAACATATTTATATAGCTACATTGCACGACAACATTACGCGACTCTGTTACAAAATTTATAGATAATTCTAACACATAAAAACATAGCTCTAACACATCAGATCAACAGCTCTGACCCACAAAATATAGTTCTAATCGCGAAAATGTAGCTCTATTGCGCGAAAAATGTAACTCTAACGCAATGATGTATACTTCTATCACACAAAAATATAGTTTGGCAGTAAATTGCATGGCATAATACAAGACAAAGTTCCACGTATGAACGACATTAAATGCATTTCACATGACAACAAAAAGCTAACATACATTGGAATAGTTCTGTGACGCGTCTCACCAGCACAGAAATCTTACAAAGTTCTAATATGCTACAACAAAAAATCAAAACACGTGATAATGTAGTCCTAACACACAAAAGCCAAAATAGTAGTAGACTCTATTAACGTACAGACTGATTCAGAAACTTGACAGCATGCGAAAATGTAGTTCTATTACACTCCTTGAACCAAAGCCAAATTGTACGATGATTAGTACTTCAAAAGCTAAAACGCGCGAAAGTCTAGCTCTCTCACTCGTGTAACACCATAACAAAGATAATGTATTTCACATGATAATAAAGCAACTAAAACACACGAGAATAGTTCTCTCACGCGTGTACTAGAAAGAGACTCACAAAAATACACAACAAAGCTAAAAATAACTCATCAGAATGTACTAGTAAAACAGACATGACGAGAGCGGCAACTCTAAATAACTACACAAGAAGCTACTCTAAAAAACCAAATGTAGCTCTGTCATGATATAGACACAATAAAACGCGAGAAAAAGTATTTTTTAATGCATCTAATACACAAATATGAGAAAGTAGCTCTGCACAGCGTGTGTGTGACATTTAGAAAGAGAACATGAAAATTTGCATAAAGACAATCTAAAATGCAGCAAGAATATAATTCTAACATGCAAGAAGAATGTAGCTGTAACACAACGAAAATGTAAGACATAGCTCTAATGCGCGAAAACAAGCAAAAATTCAGCTTAACACACAAAAGTCTAGCTCTAACACAAAAATGTAATTCAATCACGCGACATTGAAGTCAGTTTGCATTACATAATACGAGCAATCTAAAATATGCAAGAATATAGCTCTTGCTCTTGCACAAAGTGTGATACGACAACCAAAGTATTTCACAAGACAATAAACAAAAATACGCGACGAGAATATATTTCTCTTACTGTGTGCCAAAAAGAGATCTCGCTGACATAGAATGTTTTGCTTAACAACAAAGTTGAAATATGCGAGTATCTATTTCAAAAACATAAGAGTCGAGCTGTAACAAGCAAGAATCTAACTCAAACACGCGAGAATCTAACTCAAACGCGCGAGAATCTAGCTCAAAACACGCGAGAATCTAGCTCTCATACATAAGAATGTAGCTACCTGTATTATGCAATAATGAGCTGCATAACATACGAAATACAACTATATTACGCGAAATTTAAGATAACTGTGCAATTCCATATGACATCAAAATTACATTCGTGATAAAGTTACGCTGTGTGGCTAATTAGCAACATTTCACGAAATTTTTCACGAAATTTTTCACGAAATTTTGCACGACATTTTGCACGACATTTTTGCACGACATTTTGCACGACATTTTTGCACGACATTTTTGCGACTTTTTTACGCGACTTTTTTACGCGACTTTTTTACGCGACATTTTTACGCGACTTTTTTGCTCGAAGTTTTTGCACGACGTTTTTGCACGACGTTTTTGCATGACATTTAAGAGAATACTCACAATGATGTATTCATAATTTAATTAGACAACTTAGCCAGTGGGTATTGGGGTCCCTTTGGGGTATACTACTGGCGACATGAATGATTTTAATAGATTATTAAATTGTTTTTTGGTTTCTCAAATAAGAATATTTAAAAATTGAGCAAAATTAAAGGATTTATCCTTTTATTTTAGATGTATTTGAATATTTCTTAATAATATTAGTTTGTAGAAAAACTTGTGTATATAACAGAAAGATATTTTAATATTACATAAATTAGTTGTATTGTTATAATCTATTTATTTTATATATTTATATATTTTGTTACTTTTACTAGTTTTATTAGTTTTATTGCCAATAATTACTGAATCATTGTTAAAAAACAGATAACTTGCAGCTGTGTTCTGAAGCCACACTTTAGATTATAGGAATTTCATTTGAGTCTGAGATTGTTTTGATTCGGGCACTGTTAAAATAGACAATGTTGTAGCAGAGCTAGTAGAGTGCTGATGATGGCAGCAACGAGGATGGGTCAATCACGAGGCGACCCATGTCCCTTAACTTCATATGTTGACTTTTATTAATATTTCCCTGGCTGGTGGGGTCAAATCTCTCTGCCCCTATGTTATCAGTTTAGGGCACCCGGTAGCAGCACAGTAGACAAGTGGTCAGCCAAATTGATTCTATTCAAAAATTGTTTATATGCATACGGTACGTGTTCCCTGTTTTCTTGTGTTCCCGCGCGTCCTTGGCGTCTTTCGTGTTTGCGAAATTGAGTCCCGTCTTTTTTCGAAAGATCTCACAAGATCTTCGCGCTTCAGCTGCAAAAAGCCCAAGATGATGAGTACTGGTACGGTAGTCAAGCAAAGACGATGTACCAGTACGACGTTGTGGTGATTGGTCTGGGTGGCGTTGGATCGTTTGCACTTCGAGCTCTTGCCAAGGACTTTGGGAAACAGGGCAAGAAGATTCTCGGATTGGAACGCTTCCATCGGCTCCACGAAAAGGGCTCCTCGCATGGAGAAACAAGAATCTTTCGTCGAGCCTACTTTGAAGATGCTGGATACATTCCCTGGATTGACTTTTCCATTCGAGAATTTGAACGTTTGGGGCAAGAAAGCGGTGTGGAACTCCTGAACAAGTGTGGCAACTTGATTCTACAAGATAGGCCCACCGAAGATGGAACCAAGCACCGAAACAACTACCTGCAGTTGGCATGGGACGCAGCCAAGGAACATGACATTCCAGTCGAATTCTTGGAGAATGAAGATCTTCGAAAACGGTTTCCACAGTTCCATTATCACGCAAAAGGACCAGAATTGATTGGGTTGCTGGAACCAGGTGGCGGATTTGTCAGGCCAGAGCTCGCCATAGAAGAAGCTTTACAGCAAGCAGAAAGAGAAGAGGGATGTGAAATTTGGGAAGAAGCCAAAGTTGTGTCCTTACAAGAGCGGGAGCAATCCACTGTATCAAACCCCAGCGTTGAAATCGTGGTGGAACGGAGTTGCAACGACGAACAAATGACTATTGCGGCCAACAAAGTTCTGATTGCTGCCGGGGCCTGGGCATCCCAGCTCATTCCCTCTTGGGCAAACCATTTGACTGTCACTCGACAAGTTCAAGGATGGATTGATATATCCGGCTCTGACAATCCCGACTTGTATCAACCAGACCAACTTCCAACATGGATACTCTCCACCAGCAATTGGAGATTACCATTCTTTGGTATCCCTGTGGCTGATGCAGACAAGCAGTTTACCAAAGTTGGAATCCACAATTATTCCGACAAGATCGAGGATCCTACCCACAATCCTGCAACAATCACCGAACCAGAAAGAGCCGAGTATCAACATGGCGTCGAGGTTGCACTGCATGGTACCGCTTGGAACAACCAAGCCGAAACTCTATCCAAGAATATTCAGGTCAAAACTTGCATGTACACCATGACGGAGGATGGGAACTTTTTGATTGGAGTACCTGATGAATTCAACAATGTCTACGCCATTGCAGGTCTTTCTGGACATGGCTTCAAAATGACACCAGCCTTGGGACAAATGTTGGCAGACTTTGCTCTCATTGGAGAGGAAGCGCTCAATGCAAAGTGGAAACCCAGTTTCTGCCATCCTAGTAGATTTGACACTACAAAAAGCAGCTACAAAGTAGAACCTACTAGCTAAATGCTACTTATGTAATCTCTAGTACGTGGAGAAATTCAGGTTGTCTCATTCAATCAGAAAGGTTTCAAATGATAGCCCAGTTCATCGGGCCAGGATATGGGGAAGAAATGGGATCGACTGGAAGTACTCAAGCAAATGGAAAGAGAAGCGACAACCACCAAAACCAAAGAAGATGTGGATAGTGCTGTCAGCAAGCCAGGGAAGCATACGATAACAGGAGCAAAGCAGTGTATTGAGATATTGAGATATTGAGATGCACACAAGCAGGAGAACCAGCAGAAAAATCTCATGAAAGCTTCAGTGAGATCCGCTGTACCGGTGGCTCAGCGCACTCTGTAAACCCTCACCTTTTATAACTTCTTCTTTCGCGACTGCTCAATCGTGGATACCTTTTCGTCGTCGTCGTCTTTGGAGCTTTATGACACAAGAAGAACCACGGCGTCAACTGGCTTCAGTCTCGCCACCAGCTTGTTTTTGTTGTCCTTCTGTGTCTACAATCGTAAGGTAATGTCTTTTTATTGCCCTCCTGTTGATGGCTTGTGAGTTGTTCGTTGGCCACCTTCCCTCACTTGACTGGCGTTGCTCAGCTCTGTCACAGTGAGTTCTTCTGCTTGACATTATTCAGGTTCATGCTTGGATCAATGGCTTCCGCACAGACGATTCTCCTCTTCTGCTTTGTGTTTGTGTCATCCATCCCATCGGCATCTCTGGCTTTTTCCAACAATCTACCAGTTCATACTCTGCTGCTTTGCAGACACGGCGATAGTGTGTGGAATGGAGGCCAACCGGGTTGTGAAGAGCGCTTTACAGGATGGACAGATGTTGAGCTCAGTCAACAAGGATGTCAAGAAGCTATGGAAGCCGCTGCACAGTTGGCATCTTACTTCTATGACATTGACTGTATCTTCACCTCCATGTTGCAACGAGCTCTGGACACCACAGATGCCTGTCTCACGGCGCTTGGAAATAATCAAAAGGAGCTACCTCCAGTGATCTGTGATTATCGCTTGGCGGAGCGACATTATGGGGCGCTCCAGGGGCTGGTAAAGAAGGACGTGGAAGAAGGAAATTCTGTTTTCGGTTATTGTCCAGATCTCGTCGAGAAATGGCGCAGAAGCTGGCATACTCAACCGCCAACGCTAGACGACAACGATGAAAGGCGGATCATGGAGGTTGACAGGTTGGCAGAGATTTGTGGCGGAGCCCACAATGTGCCAAAAGGCGAAAGCCTTGCCATGGTTGCCCAAAACAGAGTTCGTCCATTTCTTAATGAAGTGGTAACTCCAGCACTCAACTTGGCTGCAAAGCTAAAGAGTCAACTGAGCCAAAAGAATGTCGAGGAAGAGTTGACGGCGGGACTGGTGGTAGCACATGCCAACAGCCTGCGAGCTTTGATTGGGTGCCTATGCGAGGTAGAGGACGATCCAGTGGCTCTTGGGATATTGGAGTCATTGCGAATTCCAACAGGAGTGCCTCTGGTGATTCATTATCAGCAACTGCCAAATGGAAGGTTCCGTGCATGCCCTCTTCCTGAACCTGACGAATGCCTGATCCAAGATAACTGGGGATATTTCAACAAGCCAAAAGAAGCACCACCCAACCTTGGCCACCCCAATTTGCCGGTTTGGCCATTGGACACCTGTATCCCCTTAGAAGAAAGAACCAGAGCAGACTTCTTTTCAGCATTTGCCAATGCAGCAGAGGATACGTATTCCCGTCGTTAGCGGAGATCAGGTATAGCTAGAACACAGCAAAACAACATGACACCGTTTGTTAGAAGGCGTTTGGTCCTGAGGTCAATGACAAAGCAACTCAATCCATGAATGTTTCTGCAACTGCAACAAAATCTAAGTAGCTACAATTTAGTTTTCAGTGTACCATTTCTCTCAACTGTTTTCTATCATTATTGCTGGCTAGGCCAACAGAGAGTAGATCTCCTTTGCCAGCTTTTTGGCTTGAGGGGTATGGGGTGACGCTGCAGGTTCCACCTTGGTCGACAAACGCGCGGCCTTCGCAGCTTCTTTTGCCTCCTTGTTGGACATGACGAGTGTGCCCAGAGCGACCATGGAACGGTACAGAGCCTCGGTTTCGTATGTCTTGGCTTCAATAATCGTGTTGATGGTTGTCACAGTGGGCAACACAATGCTCTCCGACGCAACACTGGGGTTGGAATGTATATAGTGGCAGATATTGTACAAGACTGTGGCAACCGACAGACGAATGTTCTTGTTCTTGGACTTTGAGTGGGCTTCGGCACGACCCAAGATCGGTGAAAGCGACGATGATACTGCCTGAAGAGACCCAGGTCCTCCCTTGAAGCAGTTGGCAAAGACACGCAAAGACAGCATAGGAATGGCCACAGCAGCAGGCCCTTCCAGGCCACTCGTGTCTTCTGACAAGTTGAGAACCTTTTGAATCATACGGTCCCAGTACGAGGCTCTCGCCGTGGAAGCTCCATCAGGATGCAATGCGGCATAGCGAGCCAGATCCAGGAAGGGGAAAGCTTCTGCAGGCGGTAGCTGCTCCAGCATGTCCAACAGTACCTTAAGCTCTGCATCTTCAAGCTTGGTGGCGTGGTAGCGGTTGCTCGCCGCCAATGTCTGCATCAAAGAGGACACGCACGCCAGCTGCTCTTCCGAGAGCTTTCCCATTTCTTGGATCTTTGTTTTCATTTTCTCAAAGGTGGCTGTAGCGGATTTTTCAGAGATTTCAAAGCTCTTGTACGTTTTGCTGGGCAAGTGTTCATAGGATGCAATCGGGACCCCAGCTACTGGTCCACCTCCCACGGAAGAAGATGCAGCCGGGCCCCCACCTCCTCCTCCCAACGTCGTTTTGGAGTTTCCTACACGTTGTTGGATGTAATCAGCAATTTCGGACAAATGATGCTGCGGCAGCATGTGGGCATCAATGAAACGTTGGGCTGCCACAAAGGGGTTTTCTCCGTTGTTGTATCCAATTTGTAGTTTTGCCACCTCGCCTCCAGTGGTGTCTACTTCAATGGGTAAGATGTGATCGTATGCCACGCCATCGATGGTTCCAGAGTCCCTAGACCCCATCACTTCTCCCACCTCTACCCAGGTTCTGGAGGCCATACTCCACTGAGCCGCAATGGCACGACCATTCTTTTGGAAGAGCTGAACTTGTCCCTCGGATCGTCCAATCATTTGTTGTCGTTGTTCCTCCCATTTTGGCAACTTGGCCACTTCTTCGTCCGAGGGTCCACTGGATTTTTTCTGCATGGCTTTGGCAACCTCATCAACAAATGATTGGCGTTCTGCTTCTGGCGCCATGCGTTCGGTGGCCCGTGTGAAAATGCGCAAGGTGCCATCCTGGCAACAGGTTCCAAAGTCTCCATTTGGCATGGCAACGGTCCTCCAAACGCATTCCGTATGCAAAATGACTTGTGGTTGTACCTGTTCCTCTAGATTCCAAACAGCAACATGACCATCTTCCGCAGATCCAATCAATAAACTGTCGATCGAAACGACCGAGAGGAGCATTGGCGGATGATCGCTCTGCTCTGGAATGAGAGTCAAAGTGGATGTGGATTTTCCAGTTCCTTCTTCTCGCTGTTTGACGGTCCCGTCATTGGAGCATGTGGCGAGGTAATTTTTGCCATCGACCGTGATTCCACAAATATCACGAATGGGTCCGCCATGGTCATTGGCAACGCTGTGGAGCATCTGCACTTGTCCCGTGACGACATCAATTTGCCAAAGTCGCACCGTGAATCCCGAAATTTGATTGTTTTGGGCGGCTCCTGCGGAACCCGTCGCCACTTGAATTTTGTTCTTGTCGGGCGAGGAGGAAATCCCATAGACGCATACGGAATTCTCGTGATTGGGCATGGTGGCCACCACAACTTTGCGATCCACGTCCCAGACCTTGGCGGTGCCATCCCACGAGCCGCTCACCAAGTAGTAGGGGAAACCACCAGAGCCGGATGGTTTGGGACACCATGCCAGCGACGTGACGGGTTTTTCGTGACCCGTCAAGGTGGAAGTGACCTCATGAGACGTGCCATTGAACAAACGAATCTGAGCGTCTTTGCAGCCACTCGCGTAAATCTGTTTGTGATTCTCATCAGCGCAAGATGACGGTGCTGAAAGAAGGGCCGTCACGGAATGATTGTGTTGGAAAGCTATCAAGTTGATATTGCCCGAAGGGACTCCATATTCACACAATCCACCGCCTTGATTGCCCGTCACTACGCGAAAGGAATCGGGGCCATCAGCCACTGCTGGAGGAAGGATACAAGCGCAACGAACGCCTTGTCCGTCAGAAGTTAGAGACTGCGAGAGTTCCCAATCGACTTGCATGGTTCGTTTGGTGATCAACTCTTTCTAAAAGCTTGCTTTCTATCCACTCGATTGGAGTTGTGTGGTGCTCTCCTTGCGGTTCTTTAGATCCTCTCGCATTGGCTCAAAATAGTTCGGCGTGGATCTTTGGGCTTCCGGGGGAAAACCAGCCCCCCTTTTCTGACATCTCCCCCTAAAGCGGGAAAGCTGCCATTTTTTCCCACCTTCATGGAGCTGCTATAATTCATTTGGGGACCATGCCAAGATAATCCTTGTGCTTGATAAGCTCAAACGGCTGCCCTGCAAGCGATTGCAGTGTGTGCCTTGGACAGAAAATCCACAGAACCAATTCCGACATGCTCTGATGAAATGCTTCCAAGAGAACGGGTGTTTCAACATTTGTCAGCAGCAACTCCGGCTATCAAGGCCATCCTGTGCTTGGTGCACTTGTGGCAGCCTCAAGGGCGGATTTTACTCCAGGTCGTGTAGCCGTTAAAAACTACATGTAGCCTTCTCTGCTACCGTACCCCATCCAGTGGAGGCCGTGTGACGGGATATGACATAGTTTGGTAAGGGTAAGGGTAAGGGGTAACCAATGTTCATGTTTTCAAGATACAGCGGCAGTGGTGATCTCCACGAACAAAGCATCGATCTAGTAGTGTTTTTATAATTACTACTGTATCTTTCAAAATCACTCAACGCTGCACGCTCTTTCTCCCTTCAAGTTGTACATGTACCTTGGTGGCATGACCCCCAAGAGTGACAGGCTTTGTGGTTTTGTTCGCTAGCTCTCTTCCTTTTTCTCCTCTTCTGGCTCCTTGTTATCGTTGTTGTTGATTCCATGAAGGATGTTGGCCACATGGCCATCCAGACCAGCAACATGTGGCTTCAAGGCATCGTCGATACCTTTCATGTCAGTTCCGAATATTGAAGCCGTTTTCACGGTGATACCCTCTGCTAGTCCTAACAGAGGTGACAAGGGTGTTTCATGGCGGCCCCACGACCAAGCGTCTTTGACAGATTCATAAACATCGCTTGCTGCACGAGGAATTTCACCAAATTCATCTTCAGTCTCGTTGTTTTCTTCACTAATGCTCTTCTCCACTTCTGCCGCAGGTTTTGCATCGGCCTCCGCTTCATCCAATTTTATGGAGGTGTCCACGGCGGCTTCATCAACACACGCTGCAGGGCTAACAGTCTCGGGGTCAGAAGTTGCCTGATCCGAGAACACAGAGGTAACATCATTGGACGAGAAACGCACTGATGTACGGGAGGTGAACTGAGACGTCAAATGTTTTCTATCATTCATTGCATATTTCAAATTTTGGCGTACCTTTCGCTTCCTTCTTTGGCTTCACAGCACGGTCTGCATCTTTAGGCTTGGCAGCCTCGGCCTTCTTCCTGGCGGCTTCTTGCTTTCTCTTCGCTCGCACTGATCTCAATACCGATAACTGGTCTTGCAACTCTCTGACTCTCACGAGATCTTCGTTCCACTTCTTTACTCTTTTCTGGTGCAAATACTTGCAGATTATACCGTGGCCTGAGACTGAAGAGAAGAGCGAAAACAAAAGACAAGATCAGCAGAAGAGTCCAAAGCAAAGACAGGGTGCGCAGCAATATGTGGCCAACCGACCTTCCAGCCCAACATAGAACGACACTAATGCCACACAAGTGATGTAGAGTGGATTTTCGAAGGCAAAATCAATCACTTCGCTCATCACGAACTCGGCTCCTGATGGCATACCAGCTGCACCTGGCACGTTTGTTGAGACTTTTGAGACCATTGAGCTTGTGTTTCTTCTTTCTTGCAAAGCCGTGGGAGCTTTGGTATTGACGATGGGTCCGGAATATCCAGAAGCAAGTAAAATCGTCGGAACAGATCCTTCATAGCTTCGCTAATCTGATCGACGCCTCGCGAAGGTCGTTTTGATGAAGGGCTGGGCAATGGCGCGTCATATTATTTTACTTAAGGGTCCGAATGGGGTCTGACATCATCGGTCCAAGAAAGGGTGCGGGAGTCAAATGATGAAGCACGCCTCGATCACACACCTGCCTCCTAAAGAGCAAACGCGCTCGATGGAAGCAAAGCAAACAGCTGTTTTGCCTCTACTAGCTAGCTACTAGAGCTAGCTAGCTAGCTCTACCTACCGCAGCTAACGAATAGCTACATGTATGTACCGGTATGTACGAGCTACCGGTACCGTATGAAATAGTAGCTAGCAAAAGGACGACGACATAGGTTTGAAGCTTTGAGAGGGGTTAAAAGTAGGGAGGTTATCTACGGAAGCCAGGCGTAGACAAAGAAAGTCGTTGACCAACATTCACTGTTGCCAGTATTCTTTGGGCAGCTGTTGAAGGGCAGCAAGTGCAACGCAACGTTGCTTTTGCGCCCTTTGGCGCACCCATGACGCGTCCAAAATCTTAAAATTTTAAAGCTTTGGTTACAGTGAGGTTCAACTATTGGAACGATCGACGATAGGTGCTTGCGAGGCCATGGTACAAGGACAATGCTGGGGATGTAATGGTCGCATCACAAGCAGGCTGTTTTCACGTTCCTCCTCTGTGCTCTGATACTACGAAGTCTGGCAAGCTGCTGCTGTAATTCTCTCCATTTCTCCCTGTCGCTATCCAATTTCACTTGACGGCGACTTTGAAAGCTGAATACTTCAAAGCAGGATGCAATCAATTCCAATAGCCACTCCATCGTCCTGAAAGAAAGCAAGGGAAAATGCAAGGTAGTCTAGTTAGCGTGTTTCCCAGGCATACATGCAGCAGCAGTTTGTGGCACAAGCAATACCGTAGCTACTCACCACAGCTCGTCTTTGTTCCAAGGAAACACTTGTCGCTCCGGGTTGATTGCCTCTTCTTCCAAAGCGTTGCTCCCTGTTGAAATTTCTCCAGACGCCTGTCTTTGGGCCCTGATGAACCGAAGTGTGCCCAACTGCTGCTGCAGCTCGCGCCACTTGAGACACTCTTTCTCCCAGTTTTGCTTTCGTCGTTCCTCCTTGGAAAGCAAAAACCACGAAAGATCCATCCATTGGGGTAAAAAGGAAATCACGGCAGCCCTGTCGTCAAACACAAACAAATAAATGGAGGAAGATCATCATGATGAGGACGCACAAAACGGAACGCACGCACACGAGTTTAGATTAGTAGTAGGAAGGGACCCCATTGAATGGGAACATCACTACTACAAGTATCTAACGAACGGCATATTGAAAACCAACAATGCTCACCCCAGTGAATTGTTAGTTGTCGTCGTATTTGATGATGATTTCCAAGGAAATTTGGATAGATTGATCTCGGGACGATTGCGTTCGGTTGTCTGGTCTTTGGCGCCCGGTTGTGTTTTCTGGGCCTCCTTTCTGGCAGCCCATCGTTGTGCCCGTATGGATCGAAGTGTCGACAGTTGCTGTTGCAATTCTCTCCACTTGCGTCGATCTTCATCCCATTTTCGGTGTCTCCTTCCTTCAAAATCCAGTAAGGATATAATCCAGCTGATGATTGGCAGTGCTTTTAGAAAATCTTTGCTGTGGTTTTGTGTTGAGTGGAAGAACCAATTGATCATTTTGAGCAAAAATGGACATCCAACAATCCTCATCCCTCTTCTAATACGCCTAATACACACCTGATTTCCACCACAGATTTGCCCTCGTTGTCATCGTTTCTTCTCCATGGAAATTCCTTTTTTCCAAGCGCCCTGTCCGAAGAAGAAGACTGCTGCTGCCGTCTCCGTAGCTCCATAATGTTCTTGTCTTGTACGGGTCTATCAATGAGAAAGAATAATCGGTTCAAAAAATGCGCCAGAAAAGCCACAGTCACCAAACATCCCACCCAGAAAAGCACCGAATGGGCTTCTCCTCCTCCTCCGTCATTGGAAAGTAATGGCAGTGAATCCAAGGGTATATTGTGGAGGATAAATTCACAACACCGGTCCCACACGGAAAGGGTGGCTTCCTTCATGTTTGTTTATTTGCCCTTGATTATCCTCCAACGAAAAAGTGGTCCTTGCTTGGAAACCTCTGATCTTGATGAGAACCTGGTATGCGTAGAAGCAAGAAATGAATCGTTGGTTGCACCTTGTCCCACAGACCCAACTCCTTGTTTTAGAAGGTGGAGTGGAGGAATGACGAGGTGCTCGGTTTGGTCGCCAAAAAGATGATGCTCTCGACTGTCACTCTCATCTTGATGCATGTGCATGCAATTCTCGATCCTGAATCTCTGAGCTCTGCTCTTGTGTTAATGCTTAGCGGTAATGAGAGGTTTGTAATATCTACAGGTATAAAGTCGGTTTTGGTCCATCGCTTTGAGACATCAGCGATACTATAGCGAAAACAGTACAATATCGGAAACCTTCTGTCTCGCTCTCTATTTGCTGAGTTAACGGGACTCAATAATGGACCAAAATATTTAACTATCTCACAAAAAGTATAACGAAAATCAAATACACGTTTAACATAGAGTATGTGATGTTAAATCATGTGGTCAGTATGGGTAACATGCTATGAGTCAATGGTACTTGAGGTCGATTTCGTATTAATCTACTTATGGGTCAATCGGACATTGAGACAGTCATTTGCTTAAAGACAGTTTTGGTCCATTTTTGGGCTGTAGCGCTGGTACACTTTCTACGTGTCTCACCCACTTCCTTTATTAAACTCGTAGTCTTCACCGACGGATGATTTTGATGACGTGTCAAAAGGCCTTCACAGGTTCACAGGCCTTGCTTCCGGAGAGCGAACGAGCGAACGAACCACCCAAATTGGCAACAGACGATGGCGTTCGAATTTCGATGGGAGCAAAAGTAAGTGCGAGTGAGGTTGTTAGACTACTACAAGAAAGCTTTACAAGAAAGTTACTCCGTCCGTTGTTATTGCTGCAGTCGCGAGTCTTCTGCAGCGAGCTGCTATCTAACTAGCTAGTACCGTATACTTTCTATTGAGGCAAATACCAAGGACCCACAAACCCACAGATAGGTTTTCTCACTCATTCATATTTTCTGCCAAAACAGAACGAACAAACAATGGAACAAGACGGAGACGCGAACCCTGCGGCATCGACGGTCTCGGAAGAGTCTTCGTCGCACAATGGCGTTGACTCGGGCCACGAATCGGGTGACGAAAATGGTGACGGGCTCGACTACGAGCTGGATCCGGACAAGCGACGAGAAGCTCGCAAGTTGCGTCGGGTCATGGCCAACCGTCGATCCGCCCGGGAATCGCGAGAACGTCGAAAAAAATTATTGACTGATCTGCAGGATTCGGTAGAAAGTCTGACGGCCGAGAATGCCTCCTTGACCAAGGAGAATTTGAGTTTGCGCAAGGAATTGGCCAGTCTCTTGCAACAATCGGGTTTGGCCGGAGCGAATGCTGGAAATTTGTCCAATTTGGCGTTGCAGTTACAGCCACCGGGTCCAGTGGTCAGTGGAAGTAGTGGTGCCAATGGTAACGATGAAAACTACAACTCGAATGGTAACACGGAAGCTGGAGCTGGATCGAGTGCTGTGGATCCAGCCGGAACGACAGCAACGACGGAAGATGGAGGAGCCAACGCTACAGATGAAGCGTCTACTAGTTCCAAGGTGATTTGAGATGGTCATTAGTGAAAAGATGACGATTAAAATATGCATTCTTAGGAGAACCACGGCATGAACGCAATCAAGGAACAGAGGGGCGACATGTGGCTATTGGTAGCAAAACTTGGATGGGAAGTCTCGCCAGTGTGAGGTATACCAAGTTGGTTATGGTGGAAGATTGAAATGCCTAGTACAATGATGAGTGCCTTGTATACAGTATAATATACATTATTTGAATAAATCAGTCTTCCTTAGCCTTGCCTTCCCCTACTGAGTACCTACCGTAGTGTTGCGTAAAAAGGCAGCAGATTGCCTCCAACTGCTAGATTTTTGGTTCCAGTTTTTTAGTTTTCTTCCGTGCGCTCTTTGCTCGTTCCTCCTGATCCCTTGAATTCTCTTTCTTGCCTGTCTTTTACTCGAGTGTGTACTCTGTGTACTCTGCATGCGAGAGCGAGAATGAAAGATTCTTTCCATGGATTGTGGTTGTCAACTGAGTCAAGACATCCATCCCGATAACATTCACATCGTGATGGTGGCTCGTGCACGGTGAAAGGTTTGTCTCTACAGAGAATGGAAAGTCCGGAAGCTGGACTGTGAGGGTGTCCGGAAGTGCGTCTTCTTGCATTTTCCCAGCAAGACCGCCATGGCTTCAGCGCAGATGAAACTGCTTGGAGATCCAGTAGCGCAGAGAAATATTACATTCAAGGCCGGATATTTTGGGCCATCCACGCGGCGGCTGCGGCGGCGGGTGACAATGTTAACCATAAGGCGTTTGTTGTGACCAAAACCAGTCCCCAAAGTGGGGAAGATTGCTTTTCCTTTGCGGGCGACAAATACTTAAGCTCCAATGCATTGCTGATCGATGTGTGAAGCTTTTTTGAGGTGACATCAGGAAGCAAAATATCTTGCAGGTCAGGGGGGATGTAGTCGGGATTATCATGGAGGATGCAAGAGTCTTCGCTGGACGTGGGGCTCGTTGTCTCCGTTGCTCTGGGATCCTCCAGCACCATCTCATCGATTGCAGTACTTGTAGGGATCATCTATCTGCCGTTCGGTAAAGAGGATAAACAATGGTTGGAGTTGTTTGTTTTTGTTCCACGCTCAAGCAAATCTCAAACGAGACGAATCGAATCGCCCTTTCGCTGCGTCGTGCGAGGACCAATGCCATTCTATCTACGATATACCGCTACCATAACCGGTACCGCCGGTACCGGTACTCTCCCATGCAGTCTCAAGTTTTCTCCGCTAAGTTCACACAGCTCTGCCGGAATAGGTTATTGTCACCTCTGTCAATATTTCGTCTCCTGGAGACGATTTGTTTAGGGGTAATGGTACCGATGGGGGCAGAGGTTTGAATTATACCCGGCGCGCATTACTTAGAAGGCCCTGTAGAAGTCTACGTATTCGACTAGTATTGTATTGACGGGATACAGTCAACGCATGTACATGCACATGAAAGTCGCCTTGCGTTCTTCACATTTTAAAAGTTGGCTCCTGATTTTTCGGGGTCGCCTGTGATTTGATTGGACCCTTGATCTTTTTTCAATGACTGACATTGAATGACGTACGAGGTGCAATGCGAATCTGAGAAAGGTAGTTGTAGTAATAAAAGTTTTTATATACAGATTAATTTACCCTATATCCCTACCGTTTATACTTATAACAAGAACCGTCTTCTCGCTGGAACATTTCATCGTATTGATCTTCTCCTAGGACAGAAAGCCCAATAGTATCCTTAAATCTTGCAAGCATGTCTCTCATTCGTTGTGGCATGGCAAAGTTCTTTGGATCCCATTCCAGCTTCTTCATATAAGAACAAACCACTCATGTTCGCACCCTTGATAACACCACGTAAGCCAGTTTTGACAGTATCGCATGAATGTACCAATAACCACACTGCAGTATATCCTGTAATTTGTGTCCAGTTGTCGCAGAATTGCTGATAATCGGGAACTGCTTACCTTCATCTTGGTGTGTACAACTTCTCCGTCATAAAACATCTGGTACTGAAAGTGTAGTCTTGCTCCGTTACATAAAAAGTACGTGGCATAATAGTCTCATTTCATGTTCCACAAGGATAGATTTGACTTGACCTGAGAAAAAAGCCCGAATCTTGCAGCCGTTGTCGATTTGAATAACCATGGGGGTCAACCATGCCTCACATTCCACCTTTCTCACAAAAAGCCGGATCCATTGGCTTCTCCATTCGGAACATTCGTGTTCTCTGTAAACATTACAGGACACCCCTTATATAACTTCAAAGCAGGATCAAAACGTTTTCGTGAGTCCGAACGGGTTTTAACGAGTCTTCTCCAACATGTTGAAAAGAAGTGCTTTAAAACCGAATTGCTCTTACAGGAACCAGTGTCCCTGCTTGATTGGCCATTTGAAGATCGTCCATGAAAATGAGTACTGCATCCTTCAGCACGGAATCATCAGCAGGTTTGTTCTTCCCGCAAATTCTTCGAAGATAGCTGAGTTAATGGCATCTCGATCTCGATTCAGATAAGTAGCAACTTGAATGTTCTCTGGTGGAACATGGTTGGGCCAACCACGCAGGCGTCTTTGATGGTCTCAATATCTTCTTTCTGTTGGTCGCCCTTCAGGAATCTTAAACAGCGTTGCCCCCATTCAGGATCGTCTTTGAAGCGGTGCATTCCATCTAACTCAATAAATGAATTCAGAGAGTCATGAAATTCAGGAATGGTGTGCTGAAGATTGTAAATTGGGGGCGTCCACTGGTTCAAGTTGAGAGTAGTCCCCCGCGAACACCAAGTTAAGTCCCCCAAATGGTTGGTTTCGTCTTGCATCAAGGTCTTGGTGTAGTGGAATATTTTCACTAAGTCAAGTTCCCCCGCGAATGAAATTTCGTCGATGATAAGCATCCGTGCGTCACTCCATTTTTCTACCAAGTTCTTCGCCACACCTTTCCCGAGTTCTGTTCAATCCCACAGCTGAATGCGTTGTTTCCCATGTAGTATTGTAGCAGCAACCCCGACATAGCAGTGACAAACAATGGTTCGGTCGTTAAATGGATGATCAATCAAACCAGAATTCTTTGCCATAGGCCATGATCTAAGTCAATTACGGTAGTTTCCCACTTCCTCCAGGCCCATGTAGAAGAAGAATCAGTTGGGTGCCACGACTTCCCTTCAAAATCAAAAGGTTTTTACGAGAAAGTCGGACTTTTGCCTTCAACCCCATATCCGGGACTCCATCCTCTAAGTCCACCTTTTCAGCTTCCTCATAAAATGTCAACAAGAAGGCTGCAATGATACACTCGAAGCCCTTCTCTGTTTGTCGTCCAGATTGGCAGCCGTTGCCCAGTACCTTATACTTCTCACGCTTCCATTCGCCTGCGACACTTACAACCTGCGGATTGTACTTAAAAACATTTGCCCTTGGATGCACTCCCGTTTGTTAAGTAGACTTCAATGATCTTGTGATATCGAGGTGTAGGCGGTTTACTTTGCTTCTCTTTTTAGTGCCATCGTGTGAAAGTCAGCACTTAGGTAACAAATTCGTCTTCACTAACGAATTCTCAGGAATGGTAACTGCACGTTGTATCCGCGTTGTCGCTTCCATTGTGACGTATAGCGTAAAACTAAAGACCATCAAATGTGCTTGCCAGAAAGTCCCGGTTTGATCTGTTGTGCCCTGCTCTCAAGATCACGTATCAATCTTCGTAAACCTTTGAATCAGATCATCTTCCTCATGTTCGTGTCATCATCAGATTCGTTTTCGTACATGTTCTCCTCCCATTCCGGTCTATAGGGCTTGGTAACTCGTTGAAGATCATCCTCTTTCACCTTATACTCGGGTTGTTGAAAGCGTTGTCTTGAATTTCTGGATGAATGACAGGTCCTTTCTGAGAAGACGACGGGTTTTTCGTTATTCGCTTTTCTCAAAACATCGTATTCATACACTTCACGAAGTCTTTCAGGAAAGCAAAGTTGGTCTGGGTACGGACTTCTTTAAATAAGCCAAACATCGATGCGGACAAGTACAAACCCAAAGAACTTCCGCATAAGTATCCATTGCCTGTTCAGTTCGCAGTAGGACACGTCAGGATATTCGCACCAAAACCGCCTGCATCTGAGAAGGCCCATTGTGGACCCGAACCAATGCTTCTTCTTTCCTCAAAATTACTCCCGTTGAAGTTTCACCAGTTAACACCCCGTCGTTTCTTTTGATCGCTGATGGATGCACGAAATGCCCAGTGTCAGCCATAAAGGCCATTTCTCCTCATCAGTTCGCTGACGCTTCCGCCTGTGGACACTCTTCATTGGTCGTCCTCGTAAAGCTCGTAAACCGCTTCACTGACACATTCTCTAGATCTTTGTTTCGACCAGATAGTGGAGCGCCTGTTCTCAAGATAAGCCTACCTGTTGGTGAATATCGTTAGTTCTGATGACACTTCTTGTTTGTTCAACAGCAACATTCATCTTTGATCGGACAGTAGAGAAAGCGATGCGAAAAGTAGAACCTTTGATTTGTTCCGCGTAATGAATGAGCCAATGATGGACCAATGATATTTGACTTGTTATGGGCAAAAGCTGCACGGCAGATCCGAGAAGAGCCTCCTTGTCATCGTCTTCATCACTCTTCCGTTTAGGGATTAATAGCACGCTCAACAGTAGCATACTCGGCCGTGTTCGTCTTGCTGCGTAGACTTGGTTTGGTACTTCATCTGGTACATGGCAGGGTCCAACCGTAATAAAGGATACGTTGCTGTTGCATGCAAACTTGACTCTGAAATAGCCTTGCACACTGATTCTGGACAGATCATACGCATTCCTTTTCGGTTGGAATTCCACTATGGGCTGTTTCCGGGAACCTCCGGTCCAATCAAACCATTTGGTTTCTGTATTCACTGCACCACCCTTGATTCCGACGAGGCCTGTCAGGAAGCTGTATCGACATTCGCACTTTGGGGCTGGTCCACATGTATGCGCTCGACCCAGCTTGTTGCACTTGAAGCATCCTTTGACATGACAAGAAGTATGATGTTGATAGAGAGCATTAATAATCACTGTAGGTGTTCAGATACTGTTGCCCGCGATACTCTTCTGGAAATCCACAACACGAGCTGCATTCTGGTTTTGGCACTATGTCCCCTCATCACCGGTGGTCCTGATCCATTCATTCCTCACACTGTCGTAAATACAAGTCAACAGATCCTCATAATAAATTCGAATCCGCAGTGATCACAGTATGCAAACTTTCCGATACAGCGTTGTACCCTTCTTATGTCTTAGTTACCGGAGTACTGATCCACACAACCACAGGGGGATCCGAAAACTCTTGGACACTTTACAAGCATGATAGAAAGATCCAGGAGAGTTCTGGTATCTGTGGGGAACATCTCTGTGGTGAGCCATCCGTTCGTGGTATTTTGAAAGGCACTTGTCGGAATCTCTTTCCGTTGCGATCTCGCTGCGCACAAACACCTTCTTGCGCTTAAAGAAATTCTTGATCCAAACGTAAGATGGGTGTGCACTGCTTTCGGCCTTGTTCTTCAAATGCTGCTGCCATCGCCAACACTTCCCAAAAAGTCCCGGCTCTTCTGTAGCACAGTTGTTATGGCGGTCCCATCCTATAACTTCTTCACATAGAATGTCGAACAACATATCGAAATGGAGTGCTCCTAGTGCTGGAAAATCTAACCGAAGCTGTCTCCGTCTTTGCTTCGTTCTTGAAGATCTCCTCGCTTGCATCTTCCCAATCACCGTCAGGCTTTTCCACTTCTTTCCGCTTAGTACTTCCATTACCACACTGTTTTCGTCATCAAAGCTCATGTCAAGAATACAGTACCGTGCCAAAGTAGTGGTTCATTGTTTCAGCGGTACCTCTAGCCAACTTGCTGCTTCATTTGTGTGGGGCAGTCTTTGCTGATAGCATTTAGGCATTCAGTATGCACTTGCTTGAAGTAGACCGGCTTGATAATTCCTGCTCTTCGACTTGATATAGCCCTAGACAACGTAATCTCCATCTAGACCTTCCGCAATTGCCTTTGCAGAAAACTTCCCCTTCAACTGAATTCGGGCTCTCTTGAAAAGTCGGATTTTGTCCCATACTATACACAACAAACTGGAACATAGGTGAAGAAATTCCGGTTGGGACACTGACAAAAGTGCGCCAGGAAGTCTTCTGTGTTCGTCCAGTTCCTCCAACATCCGTCCTCCATGAGTCTGAAATCCTTCATACTTCCGACGCCATATGGGAAGTTCAGCAAACACGACTGAATCAAGGCATCAGAATCCGTCCCTTGTAAAAAAGCCTTTGTAGGATCATGCTGGAGCTGTAAATCGAACCCTCTTCTCTTGCATCTCCTGGAAAATGTCTTGAACTCGTCATGTTATCGAATCCACATTGGTCTCAGTAGCTAGCCATCGGGAAAGTAGCAGTGAAAAGTTCGTGTTGCTCCACATTGAATTCTCAGATTCGACTTCTTTACTCGTTCCACTATCACAGGTGTCACCCTCTAACTCTCTGCGGTACGCATCAAGATCGAGTGGTTCCAGCTCCGGTTATTCTGTACAAGCCATTCCAACAGCAGCCATGATCTTGTCGTTACGAATACTCCGAGTTGCTTTCTTTTTCTGGTCTGGCGTCATCTTCCTGATAGCAGTATCACGACATTCTTGTTCAGGCCCTTGCTTCTAGATGTGCCGTGCACGACCAATCACATTGTAGTCTACCGCATAAAGGTCATGATCCCTTCAAAGTTTTCATCCTTCGCCAACATAGGAAAAACATACCCGTAAGATTTCACTGCTAATAAAGGCTATCTCACTTTGTTAATTCCTTGAGAATATCAGGTGCACATCCAACAAAGTTGCTGTTGACAATGCATATAGTGGCGTTTCAGGCTTCTCCTTCTTCAGTTTCCCGTGAAATCCTTTGCAACAGGATATGCCCATTTCGACCGTTGCGCCTTTTCCGTAAACTCCACGTGGTGAAAGCGCCAGTTCACAAGCATCTTCGACATCCTCAGAACTCGTGGATCCTAAAGGAACGTTCACAGCTTAAAACGCGGATGATCTTGGAAGACTTGTCCCAACGTAGATGTCTTGAACCTTCTTTAACTATCGAAGAACAACCATCCACATTGTTTTCATGCAGATGGTTTCATCGCATACGAGCAGACATAGGGCGTAAACGTCTTTGGTCCATGGATCCATCTTCATCAGATTGTCATACCGCGTTGATGTTAGCCTGAACGACTCCACGGTCTTGACATGCCGATAATTTCAAAAGGCTCAAAGTTGGACATGGACATGGAGCTGCCACCAAGAAGAAAAAAAGCCCCACAAGCACTCATGTAGAGGAACACATCCTGCCATTAGATTTTGTAGAACGAAGCCTATCTTCACAGTTCTTCGAACAGACACTTTCGCTGTATGCATCGTGGTAATCGAAGCAAAATTTACTCTATTATCTATACTCGATCAATTTTCACGATAGACAGCTGACTTCACTGGTAGGCATCACGCTATCTACACACCAACCAAAGTGAAAACAGCGTGACAAATCTTTATTCATTTCAGCGAAACCAGTCGCACACGTTTCCTAATCTGTATGTTGATCGTTAAGTAATCCCACGTCTTTCATTTACATCCGCGCCCCGCTCCCATTCGCTGTGATTTTCACTTAGATGACATATACCCCGAAAATCAAAAATCGTGAGGGCCCGCTCTAGTCATCTGGGTGGTAAGATAAAATATCATTATATGCACCGTTTCAAATACCCTAAATCCCTGCCGGCAGCAATTGGGGATTTCACACAACTCCAATCACACGTGTGTTCTTCATGTTGTCTACGGTACGTCCTTAAATAATTCAAATCGAATCTTCCACGAAAACTTGCGATTTCTAGCGAGGTATCGTGCACGACTTCCGCTGGCAACGCCCTTCCCCCTTCGATACAATGTGTACTGTTTCACTATAGGATACAAGCCAGGCTACACGATCTCCGCTCAATCGTATCAGCGAATACACTCAGGCGAAGACATCCCCGCTTTCTTATATACTTTCTTTGCATGAAAATGTATATATGCAACATTCCTATCGCATCGATCATCTTGAAACAGCACAAAATCAGTTCAGCAAAACCTCAAACATCCTCATCCTACTAGCAGCCAACCATCAGCCATCTCTCCTGCCCACGTAGTACTTTCTATTTTACCTTCTTCTGTTGACAATGTTTTGCCTTTCAACATGGCACTCACCTTCCTCTTTCGGACTTCAAGTTTTCAGAACTCCTTCACCATGTCTTCCCAACACCCGACATCAACACAGTCGTCGCAATCGAACCCTACTTCCGCGGGTATCAAAGCAAGAAGAAAAGGCGGCGGCAACAAAGCAAGAGGTCCTTTCAACTCCTGTGAGTTCCACTGTAATTCCCAGCAACCTCAAGGAAGACGAAGAATACCCCTTCCCCGGAATGTTCCTCAAGTTCACAGGCTTTGTTGAAAGAAAGCTACCGGGTGTATATGTACAACCGACGCAAAGAACACCCCGTCAACGGCGTTAAACCAAAGACATGATGGCCTTTTTTCAAGCCCTCGCTACAAGCACATGATCGAGTGGTATTCAAATTGGTGGACCCGCTTCTGCTGATGGGGAAAGGCTCCTTATTACGAGGCCACCAACGGTATTGCTTATGACCAAAGAGGTTTTGTTATCATGTGCCCCAGAGGTGAAGTTGACGACAAATGGTGAACGTTTCTTACCCAGATCCCAACCCCAGAAATGGCTTGAAGTGGTTCAATGAAACTTTAAACCGGCCTACATGCATACGTGTACGACCCGGCAAAGAAAGATAAACCCTACCTAGTTCTCGACGAACAGGAAAAGTGGTACAAGGTCCATGAACCTGGAGTGAGCTGATCACCCACTCCGACATCATGATCACCTTGTGACGGATTCTGGATCGATCAAGGCGAAACCGCACTGTATCCGAATCCTCAAGGACGACAAGGGCATGTGTACTCTATTTGGCTCGTGGTCAACTCCCGGCTCCACGTCTTACGTCCGTTGATTTCACCGAAAAACCTTGGATGCATCGGATTTCGGTCGCATGCGGGCCATAACTGGTGCCCGTCGCAACATTATTACAAGCCACTACGACGCACACCATCCCCCGCCCCACCTCTACTCCACCAGTTCGCCTTCAGCTGCCACACGGCCCTCCCCATGGTTTTGCACTACCCCCGGCATGAACTTTGAGGCCTTCTTGGAACTCTTCTCGAAAAGCACCAGCAGGAGAACGGTGGTAAGTCTCCTACAGTAGCTTCCCGTATAAATCCCCCGTGCCCTCACTTTCAAATCTCAATACTGGACCTCCCAATTTATTCGCAAACCATTCCCAGTTCCAATGCACCAAATACGTCATCTCCCGTCCCACCTGTTCCACGAACCACGTCGGCAAAGTGTCACCTGCGAATAGTCAAATGATGACACTCCACATGTATGAAGAAAGCTGCCGAATTGCTCACGATCCTATTACCGAATACCCCAGTCCGACGAAGAGCGGGAAACAGAGGAAAAAGAAGACACCAAGCTCCCAGCGGAAGCGAGCCAACCCTCCACTTAACACATACTATCACACAAAACTTTTACAACCTCACATAAACCACGTTGACTTCAAAATTGCAAAACCTAACCCTAAATATAAGCCACATGATCATTCGATTCTATTCACCATTATCCTGTATTATAGACAAGTTAACTAGTACTGGAAACGGAGACGACCCAGGGGCATATGAATTTCAAGTTGACCCGCGAAGTTATCATTCGTCTCCCTCCACTATCGATATCTGGATCGACCGTAGGGTGTCCCCCACCATGACCAGAGATGACAGCATTGCTGGTGCAGCTGTCGAGGAAGGAGAGTCAGAGTTTGTGCGTGTGGCTTGTGCTGCTGCATTGCGCAACGATGGCGAAACTGTGCGAAAAGAACTGCAGTGCTCTCAATCGCCCACCGTAGTCAGTTCTCTACATTCGCCGCTCTTGAAGAGCACTGCCAATGCCCAACTCTTGCACCAACGGCTCTTTTCGGGGTTCGATTCCTCTTTCCAGCAAGTCAACGTGGATTCAGTACTGCGATCCCTATTGATGATTCCTCCGGCATATGAAACACCCTGGGAAGCAACATTGGCAATGGTCACGTACCTGCAATCCACCAATGACGATAGGGATATCACAAGGGACGCTTCAGCACCTACTGGTAGAAAGAAACCTCATTCATCCTTGCTGCGATCTGCCACTATTGAAATCCAGAGCTTTTTGCAACAAACCGTAGCATCCTGGTGGGAAAGGGAAAGACGATTGGGGCATGCTACCAATACTCAGAGTGCTATTGGTAGCAATTCGACACCAACCACCGACCAAACGCCTCGCACATGTATATTGAAGATTGTCAAGCAGTTGACGCTGCCACTACTCTCTACTGACATTGGATGCACAACCATACCCAATAATGATTGTTCCAAAAACAAGCAACGACGAGAAAATGACGACAATTTTTGGATGATGCCATCATTGGAAATGATCACCACGATGGTCTCTATTTTGCAAGGAATGGACGATACTTTGCATCAAGAAATTCTGGATTGCGTCTTTCCAGCCACAATTCGACCCGATCGATTGCTGCCATGGCTCGGCTTGGCCACTGATCTGCACCCTTTTCTTCGCCCTGATGACTGGGATACCCTACTCAACAATCTGAAACGGCAAGACTTTACACACTTTGAACTACAAGATCTACCTGGACTCATGACAGCAGTCCTGTCGCTGACAAATGCGCTCGTTTCCAATAGCGTCTATAATGATGGAAAAGAGACCATCTCAAGTGAGCGACAAAAGCTGTTGGCGTTGAAAAGAGTGGCGCTGGATTTGCTTCATTCCGCTGCTATAGACCTGGCCACCTTTAATACAGTAACGGCGGTGTTCCATCAGGGGGTAGCAAACAGTACCATTACGGGTGATTGGATGGACATGGATGATGAGCAAGACGAGGTGGGTGAGTCTACTACACCACGGTGGGTCAAAGCCAACATGATGCTGGCAATGCTAGCAGCAACTAGAAAGTCAGGTTCCTCCGTGCTGGATAATCTGCTCTCACGGGCATTAGCACATGCGAAGAAAAGGCCACGGCGATCCATAACGGGGGTAGAGGGTGGGTGGCGTATACTGGTGTCATTGGCAATGGGGGGAAACGAAAAGCGACACACTAAAGTCAGAAACGAAAAGGCAGTCAATGGTTCATGGTTGAAACAAGTGCAACGCATGTTCAAGGGGGTTTGCTATTTGGGAAACGGACACTTTCAGCGCAACAATGGGCAGCAACATCAGGCTAATTCACTGCTCAATAACATGGGTCGACTTGTCTACCAGAGTCTATTCTTAGTGCATGACGGTGATGAATCTCAGGAAGGCTTGAAGACATCTCAGGCTGCACTCGTTGCGGAACGGGCACAGGATTGGATCAACGCTGCAAACAGCAAAATGAATTCCAATCAAGGCGAACTGGAGGCAGATGAAGTGGCGCTAGTGGCAGTGACATTTATCGTTACCTTTGGGGAGGTGCCGTTGTCGAGATTATTTGTACTGAGGGGCATGGTTCAGGCAATTTCAGGGGAAGCAAACTTCCAACATTCAAAGACTGATATTGCGCTCTTGAACTGCCTCATCCTATCCACCATTGTCGGGCACAAGAATACCCTCCAGTCTGAATGGACACCGATTGTAGACGTTGTCGCAGCAGGAAAGTTACCCAGGGAGGTCTTTTGTGCCCTGTTGCCTGCCATTGTAAAGACATCCACGAAAGCCCAAGGAGCAGTCCTGTCGGTGACGAGAAAATTCATTTATTTGCCAACTCATGCCGCCACATGGGGACTGCAGTCCATGGATGCGAGTCGCGATCGCATTCAATGCGGTCTGTTTGGCTTGTGTGTCTTGGTCACCATGTCCGAGGAGAACGATTGCTCAGCAGACGCTTGGAAGATCCTGTCTGAGATCATTGTTTCCAACAGTCCTCCATTTCCAGTGGCAGCACGGACGTGGTTGTTCCGTCTACTCGAAGATGTTGTGGAGTCATGGGAGTGCTGCTCTCAGCGAGTCACTGGTCGCCTTTTCAGAGCATGTTTGGTGCACTTGCTCTCTTTCATGGCAAAAAACGATGTATTCAACAAAATGTGCATTTGTCCTCGTTCTGTGTTCACCCTCTGGAGTCTCTCCGATTCCCTCACAGTTCGTGCAAAGGCGAATGAGGATTTGCCCGGGTTGCTGAAGTTGGCCTCGTGCCTTTTCTTTCGAACGCTGCAGAATGAAGATGGCTTGAGAAACATCAAGACAGTTGGCATCCTATGGTCCGCGATGCTTGAGTGCTGTCGACCCAACACGACATCTACGGTGGAGGCGCCTCACATGGTTCATACGGATGACGACAAGAGTTCGCGTCAATTGTACTGCAAACTATTTGTGTGCATAATGATTTCCTTGGCCGATTTTGCTTTGAGAGGTATCTCCAGTTACTCCAGTCAGGCGGTCTGTGACAAGAACGTTCCGCAGCTGTTCAACTTCGAGGTTGAAGGGATGAGATCACAGCTTGCAACTCTCGAGCTTGCGTCCATCCAACCAGGACATGAACAACCACGTTGGATTCATGGTACTTCGGTCAGCAACAATGAGCTAGTTGGCGCGAGGTCATCGGCGTTGCCCCACGATGCCCTCGAATCTTTGGCACTGTCGCTTTGTGACTCGCTTGCACTTTTCATGAGAGACCGCAGATGGCATTTGGCCGTAACCAATTACAACCTCTACCCTGACAGGACACGCCAAAATTTCCTGCTGAGTTTACATGGCATCCACAGAGCCAGAAAGGCTTTGCTACGATATGCGGCGGCTGGTGCTAGCAATGATCACTTCCATCGGGATATCAAGTCCATTCTTGCAGACAGTGGCAGTTTGATCGCTGATGCAGCTGTCTACATTGAATCCAACGTGACTTCAAACGGGGACTTTTCTGAGACAATGGATGGGCTCGAAGTTTTGACAGTTCACTTGGACTCTTTGAAGATTGCTCTTACTGCGGACGCTGGGGCTGGGGAGCATCAATCTCTTCAGCTGGATTCGTCGTCTCTACTTTTCGGCTTGTGGCAGTTTTACACCAGGGTGTGCAGCGAGGCTGCTTCCGTTCGTCTCATTTCATATTTTGAGCATGTGACGAGTGACGGCGAACTATCAGATCCCGAAATCCTCGACGAACGCCTGCCTGAATCCTCGGATGAAATTGATGAACGGGTCCGACGTCTTCGATGCAGCGTCTTGACTGTCAATCTTCTCTGCTTGCAAAGAGTACTGGAGAACGAGTCTGTCGCCAACTTGTCCTTGCCACTATCTTCATCGGGAGGGGTTTTCTCTCTCGAAAACGATTGCGCGTCAAGATTTTCCTTGTCGAGGGAGTCTGCGACTTCGTCATTCGACTTCCTTTTGAATTGTCAAAAGATGTTGGGAGAAGACCTCGTTGTTGGTGTGCGTGGCGACAGTGGAGGCATTTCCGTTGACCTGTACTCAGCAATCATCGAGTCCTTAACTGTCCTCTCAGCTATCCTCGTGGAGGTTGTCAATCAAAATGAACTGGACGGGTCAAAGTTGATTTCGCTATCAGCCCGTTGCTCCGATTTTGCCACGAATCTACGTGGCGTCTTCTGCAGCTTTCCACCCCAGAAGAAGGCTCTCTTCTCAAGGACTTTGCTCCTCGTCACACAGGCTCTGCCGATGTTGGCACGACGCGCCGCGGCAACGCACTTCCTATTGCTGGTCCAAGGTGTTGTAGAAAGCGATGACGATAAGGAGGAATCACATTCGAAAGGTGAAAACTTTGCCGTGGCAACTTTTACGCAATGTGTTGTCACTTTTGAGAAATGGTTACGCTCAGATACTTTGTCATGGGCGATGCTTCAAGTACCAGATGCGGAAGAACACGAAACTACAGGAAATGATGAAGAGGTGCCCAGCAAAAACGACGAGACACGCAGTATTGCTAGCAAAGGTTCTGTGCTTTCAAACGAGCACTCTGCCCGCACAAAGGGCGTGCCAGCTGTAGTCACGATCACTTTGGAAAGCACCCCCCACAACCGCGGTGCGCACGTAAACCCAAATGCGCTGCTCCCGCTGAAGACAAAGGAGATGTGGAGCTGGGCATGCTCCGGTTCCCTTCAGGCCTTGGAATGTACTTGGACTCCTGTGCTTTCATCGACGGGGCCGGAGTTTGATTTCCCTCTCATCACACCGTGCATCGAACGCAGCCTGCACAGGAGAGTTCTCGAGCAGACCTCCGCCACCAAGGCGTTGGGTCGGGTTTTCATGGAACGCAGCTCTTCAAAATCTATTGGTGAATCTGGATCTGAAGGAGGCAAAACACGACAACACATTCTCGTTGAAGCCTTCCCCAGCTGTGCCAAGTCACGGCTAATCTCCCTCGCAAGCCGCATCATCACAGCGACAGATGCTTCGATCAAACAGTTGGATTACTTCTTTCGGCTGCCTACAAGAGATACTTCGCTACTTAGTTTCGTGGAAGCACTGATAACAGTGTTGGCCTGGGTTACGACCTATGGCCAAAAGGAGGATCTTGTGGTGGGAATTCGAAAGTGGTACATAGAAGAGGGCGACAAGCGAGATTCAGAGGAAGACAAGTTATCCAAGGGATTCTCCAGGTTGATGTTCAAGATCGAAAAACTTGAAGCTGGTCTTCGTAAACTCCACAATCTCTTGTTGAGCCTGAACAAGTCAGCTTCTGCTGGGTCTACAAAACGAATGAAGATGGTCGACAAACTCATTGATTCTCTCTTTGGGCAGGGACCACAGGGACCAGAACAAGGAATATCCATTGCAGCTCTGGTGGAACGAAAGGTGCAACTCTTGATCGAGAATCAGGTCGAGTCCAGAAAGAAACGAGGCACTGTTGCTCAACCTGGATCCAGTAATACGCGAAAGCGACGGAAAACGAGGCACGAGAAGCCAATTCGCAGCAGAAATCAAACGGTAGACAAGTGGCTACAAAGCGATAAGAATCTAGAAGATGACGCCTACGAGGACGAGGCCTTTCTGGATTTGGAGGACTTTATCGCGGATGGGTGATCATGGTGACTTCACATACGGCTAATGTTGTCCTAACTAATGCTGTTTTCAATTGCTTCTTCTAGCTAGCTGGTAGCTACCTAATCGGAGTAGTGCTGGAAGCTATAAACACTTTGAATTGCTTTGTCCCACCATTCTTGCCACCGGTACCCGGCAACTCCGAGCATCCTGTGGTATGCATTGCCTATGTAGTCTATCAAGCACCAGCAAGACTTGATGGCTTTGCCACCGTATCCTGGTACTCGTACCTTACTGTTCGACGGTATAATCTCAATTCTCAACAGGACCTCTGTGGAAACTCGAGTCGTGCTACCGATCGTCTCTTAAATCCTTTTGATTGTCTCCTATTTAATGGATTTCGTCTCCTAAAAATAGGAGACGAAACGGATCATCTCTTAAATCTTTCGTCTCCTCTTTAATTCGTCTCCTATTTTCAACGGATCGTCTCCTATTCTCAACGGATCGTCTCCTAAGTGCACCATGTAAACTGTATGGTACCGTCTCCTAAATCTTTCGGATCGTCTCCTATTTCGAAACGATCGTCTTCTCAATGGAATTTCTCCTAATGAATTGTCTCCTAAATATAGGAGACGATTGCTTTCGTCTCTTAAATCATTTTGATCGTCTCTTATGCGTCGGTGTATCATCGCTTAAGTATTTTGCCACGAATGACGTTTCCACAGAGGTCCAGCCAACGACTCGACTCTGTCCCTCTGAGCTCTCATTTTGTCCGCATAGCGGACAGCGGACATCTCGGACATGTACCGGTAGCTGCATCAGCATCACAGCACACAGCACCACGCTCAAACTTCAAAACGGATCCTCTAACAAATTTGTGCAGCGACCCGTCACGGCTCTTTTCTGCCCTACCGTGAGACTGGTTAGTTTCTCAGAAAACTCCATATGAGCTTTTTCTCGATTTGAAAAACTCCAATTGCGCGACGAAAAGTTTTTTGAATGGACCAGTAAAGGTCTCCCACAATCCCACAATCACCACAAACCGCCCCGTGCTACCCCAAGTAGCCAATTCTACATTTAGATGCCTGTATCTCAGCCAAAACTGAACCTTTTTCAAGATTGTTTGGTTGAATGCTACTCTTTTTGGAGAACTCAGAAACTCATACGATTTTAGCAAAAGTGACTGAACTAAGTAAGTTTACTCACAAACTGCCGAATCACTAAAACACGAGTTTTCACTCTGTGGTAACTTTTCGGTTGTTTGACTTTTTCATCCCCCATGGGAATCATCAGTGCTTGGTCTATTGTGGTACTTATGAAATTGTGGTTTATGTCCGCAGGCTCCGTATGTTTCCTTGCAGGAGTTGATAAGCTTCTCCGGGGATTCTCTGAATCATTTCAGTATCTCGAGTCGCTCCCTGTTGCATAGGCTGCAGTGTCGTGTCCCGAACTCAGAAACTGTCTATTATCTTCAAGTCTTAAAATAGCATTTCTGGACACCCATATTGCTAGGTGGGTTGCTTTATGGGGTAAATGCATCCCCAGAGGTGAAATTTTTCAAAATTCCTAATTTCAACCTTTTTCTTTTTAGTATTTTTAATTTTTTGTTTTTATTTCGTACTTGCCAATCAACCAGACGTACGGTAAATATTTTGGTCCGGTAATGGCGTACCTGCGTTCCGGGCGGCTGATGCAAGCTTCCATGGAGGGAAAATCGGAGTTGGCGCGGGGGTGGCAGGTGGCAGAACCAACCCGCAAAGCCTCACTCCTCACATTATCTCTCTCATTCTCAGGTTTGTAGGAGTATTAGAGCTTTTGAAGAGTTGACCATGATATCAAGGAAGATGGTGTTTCCATCGTTACTGCTATTGATAATAAATTGGCTTGTCGTTGGCACTGCTGGGGAATTTTTAACCATTCAAGAAGACGTCTCAATTGAAGCACCAACACTTGTCTACCATGCATTATTGCAAAATGAAGACGCCCTCCCCATTGACCAAGCAAGCTCTACTCACCTGCGAGCATCTGTAAAGCCCCGGGAGTCTTCCTGGTTGGTCTCAGACAGTGAAGATGATAGAAATCTGCAAGGAGGGCCGACCTTTAGCGATGAATTTTCCATTTCCTTTCGGCTGGTTTGGAGCATGGCATTTTCGGAAGGCACCACTATCCGAGAGCCCACGCAAGACGAGTACAATGGCTTGCTATTTGCCACTTTACGTTGGCTACTTGCTTCGGCCAATGAAGCCTATGCTGATGAGTCGGATTCATTCTCTGTGAAGAGCTTTGATATGACACATTATGGCGCCAGTTTTAATGAGTCAGACCCCTTCCCGTCAATTGTCGGCATGGAATGTTCTTGCATTTTGAATGCCAACGACAGAGCCGATATCCCCTCAACCATTCAGTTTTTGGTCGCATTCAGCAGAGCTATAACCGTACTGTATTTGTCCAAGAATACCTAAACCCTGACGAAACCCAGCCGGATCCAGGTATATATCGGAACGTGACGGAGGATATTCGGTACAATATTCTGCCCTCTCGCCTTGCCTGTCATTTCCAACAACGGAGGGTCCACTCTTGCAACAATCAGTTTGGATTTGCAGTTCATCTCAACATTGGATACGGAATTCCTGATCGGGAGCCAACACAACCGAGTATGAGGGATTTCTGGCGGCCACCAGCGAGTGGCTCAATGATGTCTTTTTGCAGGCATACCCAGGCACAGATCAAGCTTCAACCGTCATTCCACTTGCTGTCGTCTTCCATTGAATCTATGGATTACATCAAGAACGCGGCCCTCCCTCACAGGATTCATATTCAGTCGGCTATTTCCTTTCGACTCCCAGCTAGATACACGGGGGCAGAAGTAACTACTCAGGATGCATGGGACTTATTGAGGTCGCAAGGAATTTTGAACTATCGAAACCAATATTTGAATACTGCTGAGCCAATAAGCAGCCTTTTTAGGGGAGCATTGACCATTTCGTGGTCACCTGGGGTACCGTGGGTTTATGCTTTTGAAGTCGTTCCTTGAGGGAAGTGAATGGTGGGAATCGAGTCCATCGTATCAGGGAGTTGGATTGCAAGGAGTGCTCTTTGGGATAGTTCTGGCCGTTCACTCTGAATCAACACTAAGCTACAAGCTATTTTGTGCTACCCTTGTCCAATAAATTAAATATTTTCTATTGTGGTTGACACATTTATACTACAAAGTCTTGGAAGAAGGGAAGAAGAGACTTCAAGCACAAGAGGCTGTCTACGTCTGTGCCCCTTAGTCAAAGTTATTTTTTGAACACACAAACAAGCAAGGAGCCACCTCCGGACGTTTTTTTCTTCAACTTCACCGTTTTGAAAATTCGACTCCCGCGTCAAATCAAATGGGAGGAGAGAGAAATCAAAAGCTACCAAATCCAAGTCGAACAAAAATACCTGTCGTCTTCCCTCGATTTCGAAAATCGTGGAAGATGTCTTGGGCTCTTGAAGTTCAGAATCGAATCAAAATGAAAATGGCGTGGAAGACGATGATTGAGCTTCGTTCGTTCGTTAGCTCACTTCTTGGCATTTGCTTCTAGTCGTTTCCGTTGCCTTTTCTCGTCAACACATCTTCTCCGCCATCGCGACCATGACGCCTCATTCTTCCCCACGCCTTTGTAGCTCTGGCTCTCCTTTGACGAAAACAAGCGCAACACCTTCGAAATCACATCACCCTCGGACGCGACGAACTCGCCGTGGCCAGGGAAACAAGAAGCAAAAGACAGATCAAGAGAATTTCGACCCGCGAAACAAACCAAACGGCAATGGTAACAAGCATTCTTGCATCGCTGGCAAACCCGGGCTAAACAGCAGGGACGACGAGGGATCCATTGGGGCTGACTCTTTCAAGGACACCACCAAAGTCAACAAACAATATGTGGGCCGCTCGATTGTGAGATGGTGGGTGTGGGTCCTGGTGGTAAGCGATCCGTTCTAGCTCGCGTCACTGTAGTAGATTGGAACGGAAAGCCTCTCCTGGATACGTTTTTGAAGGTCCACGAGAAAGTCACAGATTACCGGACCTTTGTCTCGGGCGTCAAGCACGGTGATCTAACGGGTCCCAATGCCATGGATTTTGGAGTTTGCAGAAAGAAGGTCATCGAGCTGCTTCGCAACAATGTGCTCGTTGGACATGCAGTGCACAACGATTTGAATATCATGAAGATCATACATCCCCTGGAGGACGTGCGTGACACGAGCATGTATGAGCCCTTCATGGTAGTGGACCACTACACTGGTTATCTCCGCCCACAAAAGTTAAAGAATCTATCGAAGGTCTACCTCGGCCGAACGATCCAGGAAGAAGGCACTTGCCACGACAGTTGCATCGATGCCCAAACCGCCCTCGACCTCTACAAGTCAGTTCAGACTGATTGGGAAAGCGCCGTTTCCCAAGCACAGACGCACTATGCCGCATTTGGTCCACCCTTTGGACGATACCAATACCAAGGAAGCTACAACTAAATGAACAGAGACCTGAAAGGACGTAATGCAAAACTCAAAAGGGAGGCCCAATGCACTGGGAACGCGTTAGAAAGCAACCTTCAATTAAAATAGTCAAAAACTGATCAACAGAAGCTCGCTACACAGGTTTATTGTTGCTCTTTTCTTCTGCCTTTGTATCCACAGCTTCACTGCTCTCTGTGTCTACAATTGCCGCAGTAATTGTTTCCTTGGGTGCGGGAGGTGGGTTGGTGGTAGTGGCAGGCATCGCAGATGATGCTGCCTGCATAGCTGTGACAGCTTGTGTGAGCAAGGCATTGACGTCGGCAGGTCGTTCATTGAACAGAATGGTATTGCTCTGCTTCCCCATTTCACCATACATGGTCACATATTCTCGAGCTAGTGCAAGTCGAGCCGCCTCTTGTCCACCAGGTTTGTTGAGTTCAGCTGAAATGACTCTCAAGGCTTGTGCTTGCGCCTCGGCCAGATTTGTATATTGCTTGCGCTTGACCTTGAGCTTCCAGCTGGATCTTTGTTTTGGTGGCATCTGCTTCATTCTTGATCTTGATAGGTTACCTTCCGACTCATTGGTGAGGCTATTAATCTATGATCATTCAGCCTCTGCCGCTACCTCACATCTCAGTCGTACGTCTCGTCTGCTATGTTTGTCCGTCGGCAGGATTACATAATTTGTTATCTGGTGTGATTTCTGTGATTTCGTATCGTCGGATTTCCAATCCCTGATGAATGGGACATGGGCCTCCTGGAGGCTTCCCTTGATCAAACTATTGAGGCGTGCACGCCCATGCAGAATCTCATCCAACTCCATCTCACCAATGGCAGATCTCATGGCAGACTGAGAGTGCTGATTTTATAACCCAGTCAAATCAAAGAGTCATTGTCCAAAAGCCACGCAGGCGATTTGGTGACCATCAGACACAGATACTGTAGCGCCTCATGGAGTCAGGAAGGTAGTTAGATGTGTATACATACTGGTTGAACATGAATGGCAAAGCCTCTTATTCTTCTT